AAAGTTGAGGTTGAACGAGCCTGGACTAGGCGGGGGGCTGCCAGCACCGGACTTCCAAAGCAAAGTGGCTTTTCCATAATTAGGGGTCCCCTCAAAGGGGTCCATACGGGTTCTAATAGGGGTATGTAGGGTTTAGGGTTGAAGGTTTCCCAAAATAAGGAGTACCATCTTGGGTTGGGGTCTACTAAACTACCACGTAGGACGGATGACTTGATGTATGAGATCCTGCATTTGGCGCGGGGCTCAGCATGACCCATCAGGTATTTTTGATTTGATGTTTTGCTAGCTAAAAGGAAGTCAAGCGCCATATGTCAGGCGCTGCGCTTGCATTCGATGAAGAGTCGGCCGAAGGATCTTACAGGCGGTGAGATGCAGGCGCCTTCAACGATCACCCTGCATTGCATCCCTTGGCTTTGGCTTTGGCGGTTCACTTGATCAATCGATTGAAGGTTTGGCTCGGTCTTGCAGCAGCTTCGATCCAAGCCGTCCGGTGCCACCGCGAGCGGTGCGTCGCTGCTTGCCCGGAATATTTTTTTAAAATCAACTTTGAACCGCGGCTCCACGGCTTTCTGTGCATGCGAGCATGCATTGAGGCTTTTCAGAATGCTGTGGCTGAACTTGACGACGTATGTGGTGCTCGGCACTCATCTGCACATTTGGTGAGACAAAAGGTGTTTCCTGATAGCCTCTTGTCCCTGCAGGCTGCGCTGGGAGAGGTGTCCTTGAAAGTGCCAGGCAAGTTGTTGCGTGCAGCCTTCGCAGAGTCCACCCCCCAGAGGGTCAGATTCGATAAGACGGGGGCTTGATGTTGGAGCGAAGAGTCCCTACTAAGTTGGATTTGGCTTCCCAGGCTTGACCAACTCTTGGAAGGCAGCAGCCAAGCTAGGCTGCTTGCAAGCTGCAAGGCCGAAAACATCTTGCGATGAGCAAATGTGCCGGCATTCAAGCATTCAGAGTTCTCCCTTGACCTGGGGTATGAAACTGAGCAGGCTGCCTCGGGCAATGAGCAGGGAAGCCCAGCTTCGTCGGGCACATGTGCTTGGTTGTAGCATGGCTGTGGCCCACATTGCAAATTTGTCAGGGCACTGCAGAGCGCCATCGCCAGCTTCGAGTCCACTGTCTCTTTTGCCCATGACTTGGCAAGTGATCAGTGGGTGGTGGGTGCAAACAAGTGTTATCTTGAGGTACGTGACTCCGAGGAGTTTCGATGCTGCAGGGCTGAGAGCCAAGCGAAGTAGGTCGCCTTGTGTTCTTCTGGAAAGTGCCAATGTGTTCACGAATCCCGATGGGGATCCTGAGGCCTCCCCTGAGTCAACTTGCTTGCATGTGAAGGCCTGGGATTTGCGGGGCTGGATATGCGTTGGTGACTCGTACGCGCTCATTCTTTCGATGGAGAAGTGTCTGTCATTAGGGAGGGCATGCGGCAAGCACCTAGTATCTAGCATCTTCTAAACACCAGGTTTTCTCACCTCGCAACTGCTAGGCAAGTTTCCTTCAGAGCTTGATTGACAAGGCTCCTTGGGTGGTGCTGTGATTCTGAAGTGAGTTGTGCTGCAGCATCCTGAATCATGTGCAGAAATCCTCGGAGCCTATTTGCACGTTGTTTTCTCTTGGCTCAAAACACATCCAGTCTGGCTAATGACTTAGCCCTGCCCAAAGAGGCAGAGCTCTTGCAGTGCTGTCGCTGCATACTTGCTTGCATCGCAGAACAAAAAAGCTGGTCCTAATTGTAGGTGATGAGCTGGAGACGATATGATCCATCCTACAATCCTTCTCGGTAACGACTTGAGCGACCGTCGGCCCGTTCCAAGTAAAAGGTAATTTTGGAGCAGGCCTGTCGCAGCTTGTGACTCTAACCGGAAAGAGCTGTAAGCAAGTCTATGCATGGAAGCAAAAGCACTGTCAAATCCAATGACGCCATGGCAATTGGTGAGGAGAACCCTCAGGAAGCGTCAGAAGATGGCACCTCAGCCTGCTAAGAAGCGTCGTTTCCAAATCCCAGCATTTGCTTTGGGCACTTATGTGGCTTCAGAGTTCTGACGCGTTCAAGGGGCGACTGGCATCTGGAATCCTTGCGCAAAATGTACGTTTGTTTGAGGCATCAACTTTGTACAGCAACCTTGGTGACAGAGGAAGCTGCTCACGTCTTCGGGTTTGATACAGGAGACAAGCAGATGTAGATCCAAAACACAAGGCTGACAGATCACTACTCAGGCGTAAGGTAATGCATCCAGAAACTGGAAACCCAACCTTTCCGTGTCACAGCCATCCACAGAGGCTCTCCAAGCTTTCTTGGCGTGGAGAAGTTGCCGGTTGAGACCAGTGTGCAGCTTCTCTGCACGGGCTTGCTGTGCTATCTTGTTTCTTTGCATGCGCTCCGGAATGAGTGGTTGTTGCGACACCTGTGCAAGACACGTTTGCGTGCAGGCCCCGCCAACAAGAGCTGCAGTTTGACAGCCACACCACTACAGAACACTATTCTAGCTAGTGAGAGATGACACCTGCCGCACATATCGGTGACCTCAGAGTCCTCAGGCCATCAACTGGTCGAGGACGCAGGAGCAAGTGAGCCGCACAGGGCTCTTCACCTAGACTGACAGCCTCACATTCCTTTCTCAAGATGCTGCTTACCAGTTTCTGTGAAAGGAATTGGTTTTAGCTTTCCTGAAGAGCATTTGCATCCACGTGGAGCATCTAAGAACGGACTGACTCTGTGTCCTGAGTTTGTTGCCACAAGATCAGGAGGCGGAGCGCGGCCAGCGAGAGCAGTGATTGCTTCAGCATCCGCAGCATCCTGTGCTGCATTGCACCTTGGTCAATCTCCAGCACTGTTGGCAAACCTGTTCCGCACTGTTGGACTATTCAGCGGACAGTTCTGAATGGACAATCAGGTCAGCTTTGGCATCACATTCTACTTGGGCGGAGTTCAAATGGAGGCTCCACATTGACATGCTGCAGCTAGCTAAAGACACTTTGTGTTCAGCCAGGTCTCCGTGCTGACCAGTCTTCCAGTTCCGCGGGCTTCGGAAGTCGACGTCACCAAGCTGCCGCACCTTGTCTGCAGAGTCTCTAGCTTTCCGTCGTCTGAGCTTTTTTGTGAGGAGTGAGTTCATGTTCTTGTAGCCAATGGAGTGTGAGCTTGATGCCAAAGCGTTGTGGTGTCTGATGGACTCAGCATCTGCCATCGTATACGAAACCGAACCTGCCTGGCTACAGTGATATTGCACTCACTATCAGATGCGGTAGTGTTCTTCATGCCCTGCATCTTGTGCAAGGGTCCAAGGGGCTTGGCTTGCCATCGATGGTGTACAATTAAATCAGCTTCAAGATGGCAACTCTGACCTACCTCTGTGTGCTTGTGTGCAGCATCAGTCATCCTCCTAGACGGGCGTTCATGCATCCATGAGGCAAGCTGTACAGCCGAGCTCAACGGCCTCGCCCAAGGTCCTGGCTCTCAGTCACTCTGCGTCTCTTGCGTCAGGCGCCGTTTTTGGGTATTTACAACACGAGGCTGAGTTGCCGATCACAACATCTCTGGCTGAGCAGGACTTCATGATAATTCGCAGAATCTGTGATTTTCCATGAATGATGTCTGGGAGCTGCGATTCATGGCGTCAATTCCAGACAGCAGTGAAAGCTTCAAAGAAGCATAGTAAGGCAATGGAGCCCTAGGGCTTCTTATTGATCAGGTACTTCGAGCTGTTTGAACTAGAGCTGTCAGTTTGCAGCAATGAGTGTTGTAGGCCAAGGCGTTCTCGTGCGTGTGTGTTGCCAGCATGCGGGCTAGCTCACACTTGCCCACCGCGACAAGCCCTGGGTCCAAGTGCTTTGAAGCTGGCCTAACCCTGCCTCTTTTGCACGGCTGTAAGAAGAGACTGCGCGTTTGTTCTATGGTCTTAGATCTTAGTTTTCGCGAAGCGGTCTAAACAGTCACGCGTGTCAGTACACTCCATTTGGCTTAAATGTAGTTGAAGCCGAGGAGTGCTGAATGTCTTGAAAGTTTTCTGCATATGAGTGATAGGACACCGGCTCGGCATCTACGCTTACAGAAGCGAGGACGGAAGCAACTATCGCCGCGGCCTAATCAACATACGGCTATCGCATGCTGAATGCAAGCAACATTCTTTGGCAAGGCTGCCGAGGCTACTAGCCCTGAGACGTCCACCACGGTCGCAAGCGAAGAGATTGGATATGTCATCCCCAGAAACGACCAATGCCCGAAAGGTCCCTTGGTGTGGTTGTGGTGCCAGAGGCTTTTGTGATGCGCAGTGTAGCTTCACCTAGTGGTCAGGTACTCAACAAGTCCCTTGTCTACATTTGAGATTCACCTCTGCTGGTGGAATGCATTCAGCAGAATCATCTTTTTTGTCACAGGAGAGGCGCAGAAGAGGTCAGCTTCTCTGCTCCCAGGTCATGGACATGCAGAGCTGCCTTGAGGGTGCCGCGTTTCTAAGGAAGAAGCTTGGCGGCCTAGAAAGATGTGGAATCAATTCATGTGGTAGTTCCCTAAACAGGGGGACCCCAATACAGATCCCAAAATATTACCCCCCAAAAAGGTAACCCTCATTTTGGGAAACCCCCCATGTTGTCGCTTATTGCTACACGGTATCGCCTGTGTTCTAAGTTAGGTTCAGATGCTTTGATGGTGCATGCCAGGAAGTTGATGTCAACCTCGTCGTTCACTGCAGAGCATGACCCTCCTGGCTGCATCTATCGAACTCAAGATCGGGCTACTCAGCAGCACGTAGAATTGCAGGTGAGCTCCTCTTGTGCCCTCTTCCCTCTCGCTTTAAGTATGGTGATTAACAAACATGCAGGGGCAAGGCTCTGCATCCCCAGAATTTACAAATTCAGGACATCTTCTTCAATGACCATCCAGAGGGACATCCGAATCAAGACAGGCGACCTGTCTGCCGAGGACTCACATGTCCTCCCCAACATGGATAGGCTCTCGGCAGCTCTCAAGAGTTATGAGCGTAGCTTTGTCAGGAGCGGTTGGCATGTCTGGCATCTCGCAGCAGAACATCAAACCCGTTGCAGCTTGGGACCAGGCCACTTGCCCTAGCTTTCACATAGAGCCAAAGAACTGTGCAAGTTGCCACACCTTGCTGCACCAAACTGGCTGCGTCTACCCTGTTGCTCTGAGCTTTGGTGAAGGTCCCGGAAGCGATCCGGGAAGAGGTGCGGAGCTTTCTTTAATCGGGCTTGCATGCGCCTCAGCTGATGTGACACCTCAAATCCGCTTCAGACGAGTGACTAGGAATCTCAAGGGGTCCTCAGGAAAGGGATGGCCACGTGCTCTGCATGGTGATGTAATTGGGTTGCCAAAGCAGGCCTCGCGCATCCGCCTTTTCTGCTTCGCCTGGACTCCATTTCGGCCAAGTGATGAGGCTTTGCAAATCATCTTGTAAGGCAGAGAAACCAAGACGGGTCTTCTATGGACAAATTGAGTAGCCACTGGTAGAATCTGTTGCTCTCATGGCATGCGCCTGCTATGGTTTCAGTGAGGCCGTACTGCAAGAGGTGAGGACGCAGTTTTCCAAATGTGATGGGCATGCATTCTTCAGCACCCTGGAAGCATATGCAGCCTTCTGGTTCTCCACAGGGAGAAAGATGTTTTGAAGATTTACATGCATGTCAGGAAACTCTTCTAGGAATGCTTTAAGCTGAAGGATTCATCGGCTCAGGTGACCGTCAGCCTCATGGTGATAAGAGCGACATCATCATTGTGGACGTTCCGGAGCAAAGAGTTCCACGAACTGATGGGCAGTGGTTGCCAGAACCCCAGGGCATTGAGTTGATAAACGTTAACGTTGTGGACTGTTAGCAGATGATGCAGGTATCATCGAAATATGGTTGGCCTGATGCCCACGTGGGCTCATTTGTTGAAGACTGGGCTGGCAGAGGAGTACGAAGCTAGGCTTTCATGCCGAGTCTGTCAATTTCTCTGGAACATGTCTGCGTGCTCCCTTGAATTCGCAGTAGCCGAGGACTGGATACTGAATGCGGAGCGTCGACCTGATTTGCTGACCACTGGCACATACCATTTGACATGTGCGGAAAGCAACGGCCAGAATGGTTGTGGATGCACGATGTTTGTTGCATGGCCCCAGCGGAGAATTCTTTTTTTGGCCGCAAGCGATTTCCGGAAATCCACCGTCGAAGATTTCCAGTCAAGGCAGATGCCAGCGTGTGGGAATCCATGCTCTTTTTTCAATGTTTTCTTTAGGCTTCTTGGCAAGTCTTGATGGTGCTCCTGCTGTCGAGTCCTTGGGCAAGCTTGTCGCACAAGTTTTTTCCAGGACTTTGTGGGCTGCGAAGGTTTCATCTTTGAAGCTCAAAGCTCAGAAGCCCAATCTTTAGGCGTCGGTCAAGGATAGTAAAGATATGAAAAGACATGCTCAAGCTTCAGCTGGTCCAGTGACAAGCTAAAGTGAAGCTCAAATACCAGTGTCAGCTTGCAGGGATTGTAGTCAAGCTCTGGTTTGGTAACTCCATGTCCAACAATGCACGGAAGGTCAGCTCTCCCGGCGTTCCGGGCATTTGTTGCTCGATCCTTTCAGAGCCTCCGATCAAATGTCTCCGGAAATTGTCGTTGGTGCTGCAATTCGGAATCTCCCGGAGTTTTGTATCTTCTTTGGACATCTTTGTTTGGCTTTTGCGCGCGCATTCATGCACCATGTACCAACTGTCGACGCTGCACAGTATTGGAAGAAACGAAGCCCTTCTCCTTCCTAACCAGCACAACTCAAAGCAAGGTGGATCAAGCTGGCTAAAATGAGAAAGAAGCCGCGTCCAAAATCGCAGAAGCAAAGCCAGAGCAGAACCAGGAGAAAAAGGGGCCTGGCTGTTATACAGGCTGTATCGCAGAGAACAGCAGCATAACTTTGTGTCAAACAAGGGCTTTCTCATGTTTTATTTGAAAAGTCCCTGCAGCTTTTTGGGCTTGGGCGCGCATGTGGTACCCAATTTTCCGAAAAAACATGTCCACAAGGCCCTTGCAGAAGCTCTACTTGGGTACCCTCAGCTTTGAGAAGTACACAGCTGATGCCTGGCATGAGGTTGGATCACTTCACGAGTCCGAGCAGATGCCGCCTGGGCATTGTCAGCCATTCAGCTGCAGTCGGGTCCCTGACGCTGACAAACCCACAAGAACAAAGATCCACAGAAGTAGTAGATTCCATTTTCTTTTCCTTTTATCGCTATATAACCTTTTTCCTTTGGCAGTTTCTATTTTCTTTTCCATCATCCCCGGATTTTGTGACTCCCGGACGCAAGCGGCCGCTTTTTGGTTTGGAAGCTCAGGCTACCTGCACAACCTGCGGAGCGGATCCAGCGGTGAGCAGCTTGTCGCACGAGATGCTCCCGGGGAGTGGGGAGTTCAAAGCTCTCAGTCCATGGCGCTTGAAGTTGATTTCTATTCCTTAGAGGGAAGCATGCAGGGTGCCTAAAGCCATTAAAGCCTGAATGGAATCCTTTGCAGGCAGCGGCTGGCTGGTGGCCCGCTGATGCTGATGTGGGGCAATGCTTTTGCCACCCAGCTGCAGCGAATTGCAGGAAAGAGCATCAGTGGGCCTCTCTCACTCGGATTCATTTTTATTGCTTCTGTTGGTGGGCAAAGGTTTTCAACAAGAAGATGGTCATCATGATGAGGGAGCAGTGGAAGTTTCTCGGGAAGACGGAGAAAGAGAAAACAGTCGGCGTTGGCTGCCCCCAGTTCATGCGCGGACGTCAGGACAGGCTCCTGATTGCGTGCATGAAGCACAATCAGAAATACTGATGGTCCTATGTTGTGGTAGGCTTCAAAGTTTTCAGGGGCTCCTGTTCAGGTTTCATGAGCTCATGCGGTACCCTCAAGTGTGTGGATCGCGCAGGAGTGGCCAGAACACTGTTCACAAGACATCGTGCAGCTTTGCTTTCTAAACACTTGCCATGTCTCAGTGGTCAAGGTCTGCAGCGGATGAGTGGCCTGGTGATGCTACTTCTAAGGTATCCCAACATGCTGGACGGAGTAATGCGAGGGGACGCAGAGGCAGGCACAAGTGGATCTCTGGCCGATACTCCAGCATCTTCCGTAGCAATTCACCTCCCCCACGAAGCCTTGAGCAGCATGTTGCGCAGAGCTGTTGCACTGTTGAGATGCTTTTATGAATTGATGAGTCAGGGCTCAATGGAATTTAGGAGTAAACATGTTTATCCTTGGCATGTTTCGAATCAACATATTCGAGGGGCTTTGGTATTGAAGGCCATCGGCCGTTCTGGCTGCGGTCAGCCGGATGCCATGAATGGGCCTCCCAGTTGCACTTAGGCTTGCCCCCTTGAGTCTGTAGCATCACTGCCTGCCGTATGCAAACTGCAGAGCGAGCTTAATTCAGAGGCGCTTGTGTTGTGAGGCGAGGGGTCCTCTTCCAATTGGGCTGCTGGGAAATGCAGAAGAACCCATTCGGCATGTCGGAGGAAGGCGCGATATCTGAAGTGTTTGGTCCGTGGCTTGTGGGACACATTGTTCTGCTGTCTTGTGCTGAGCTCCATCAAGCCGATTGCAAGGCGAAATGGATGCCATCCGTGAATTTGCCATCGTCCAGGGAATGAAGGACCTGGACGTGGCAGTCATTTAGCTCCAGGTTGTTTTCCAAGCATGAGCTCATTTCCAAGCCAGGCTAGTCTGTCTTTTGGAGCCACACGTGCCGTGTGCGATAAACATTCAGACTACTTTTCTTCTAATCAGTGCTCCAATCAAAGGATGTGTATCTCCATGTGTTCGAAAGCCGGAAAAGGGGGGGGTTCGTACTGAAAGACCCACAGGATTCGAATCATCGTTCCCGACTTTCTGCTTCGTTGCATGCCCACCCTTGGGTGAGAGGACCAAAGAGAGGCACAAAAGCGATATGCGGGAACTGACCAGGTGCCTGCTGGAACATTTACATGTACAACAGCATGCCAAAGCAATCTGTGTATGTCAGAAGCCGCATGAGTCGCGTGACTAAACTCGTTCCAGGCTGACAACGTCAAACTTTGGTGGTCAGCCAAGAATGTCCCAGACTCTTGCCTGAATGTTTTGACCGCCGACGCTGATAACATTTGTTGCAGCAGCATTGTCACGTCCTTCAGTTTGTAGCTGTCTAGTGATCCAGGCTGCTCTTTTGCATCTCTGTCATCAGGCGAGCAGCTGAGGTGATACATCATATTGTAAGTGCCGACGTCCACAAACTGGCCCGGGAGCTTCTGGACCCAGAGCCAGAACTCCAAAAAAGTGCTTGCGCGGAATGAAGGAGGATCACTTTAGTTGTGGAAGTTGAAGCAGTTACAGCACTTGGGGAGGCCACCGTAGCCGTGAAGCAGATGGACGAAGGCCAAATCAGGGTTGTTTTCTGCACCTGACATTTCAGCAGAAGAGGTTGAAGGCCTTCCTATGCGATCAGTTGGTAATCATACAGCCAAGACATCTATGCGTGACAGCAGGCCTGGCGGACGCTTCAGGCCTAGCATGGCCCTCAAATTCCTGTGATCATCTTGTTGGATCAGTTTGCTGCCCCAAAAGCATGAAGTTTGCACAGGGCTGGCACTGGGGTATGGGAATGGCGGAGGCCGTTATTTTTGAGTAGCAGTACGGGTGGACGGAGATTGCTGTATAAAGCTTGCAAATAACAAAATCTTCGCGATATTCTCCGTGTGAGGTTTGTGAGTCATTTCGGTATTAGCATTTGCAACATTACTGGGATTCGCTCTGTCCTTCTCTGCTGCGGCAAGCATTTGCAAGTAATTACCATTGGCTGTATTACAGTACCGCATCTTCACACCCTTCCAGACTTTTGCGCCCTACACATGTTGCGTGAGCAGCATCTTCACTTAAAGAGTACCTCATTCACGAGGGGCTGTTGCAAAGACAACGGCGTTGTTTTGACTCAGCTTGTTTATGCAAAAACCTCGACTGTATTGATTCACGGAGCCCAGGTGCCTGCATCGATGGCTTCATCATTGAGATCATCCAGCCAGGACACGGCACAGAACTGCAGTGGCCTTTGTTTGCTATACTTTGTTGCTGTTGTTTCTTGGAAAAGCTGATCGACGCGAAGGATCTCGAGTCAAACCTGTCGCAACTGCGGACGTGCTGGGGCCCTAATCTGGGACTGATCAGCCGTACAGCAAGAATTTGGGCCTCAAGCGCAGAACGTTGCGGTTTCCGTAGCCCATTTAAGCAGTGCCTGTGTGCTGAAACACAAATACTGCGATCCTAACCAGCAGCTGCTATAATTGATGTCGACAGTAAAAATCTTCCACAGCCTTCCAAAACAGGGTAGCGGATACTGTAGCAAACTGGACGCCGCACCCTGCAACCCAATATAGTTCCAGGTTTCATGACTGTGATGCAGCATTCTCTTCCTGGCCACTGCAGGCTTGCAACCTCCAACAGCTCCAGCTGCAGAAGCTCTGCGCCCTCTGCGTTTGCTCCTCCTGGCCGTGCAGCACGCTCGTGAGGCACATGGAGCCGATTAATGATGTGTGGGACTGGGAACAAGTTTGTTAAAGCTTTCGCCTCATGCTTGGGGACGCCAGCAAGGCATACAGTTCTGATCCCTCAATCTCCATCAAGGCGGCCACCCAAACGCCGCTTGGCTGCTGAATCATCCGATGGCACATAACAAGCTCTATGTAATTAATGTGGAGGGTGGGATCGAAGAATGAGGGAACGATCAACGCCATCGGTTCAGGATCAAGGTCGCAACAAGTGTGGATGTGGACGCCAGGAATGGTGCAGGATCAGAGCAAGCAGAGGAAGAGGCACCTTGGACCTGTATCAGTTTTCAAGTTCAAGCGGTTGTATTCTTGAGACTGCAGGAGGCACTGGCCGTGCCACAGCTGGGCCTAGGACGTGAACCGCGCCTCAAAGCTTTGTCTGTGCCTAAGGCCTGAGGTATCCTAACTGATGTCTCAGATTGCCCTCCAGAGCCTTGATGAGTCGGGTTTCACAGCCAGCCTGCGTCTGGCTGCCAAGGTTGGAGATCTTGCCAGTGTCACAGATCCAGGATGCTCTTCGGCACCTTGCTTGGCAGCTCATGCTAGGAACCATCTGCTGTCCAGACAAGCGCATTCGGTATCTTGAGCATTGTCAGCGCCAAGCATTTTTGACGGACTGGCCTTGTAAGATGGACTTGCGCATCCGTTGTTCATAAGAACGCTGTGAAGGCTTCCTTCCTAGAATATGCAACCATGTAGGATTCAGGCACGAACAAAGTTCAAGTTGTACAGCCGCGAAGGCAGCACCTGGAACAGATCCCGAGCTCGTGTGCCTCTCCATTGGCGCCTTTTGCCAAGCAGTTCTGCCCTGAGTCTGTGAAGGATTTTGGAGGGCCCGCCCGCAAAGGGGATAGCTAGTCAGCTAGTCTGTGCAATCGTTTCAGCCTAGCAAACCTCGCATCAACGACAGCAGGTAACCAAGCCTGCCTGCCAGTTGGTTTGAAGTGCCTGGCGTGGATTTCAGGAAGTTCCGTCACGAAATGCAAAAAGTCACAGTGGCAGCATTCGTGTTTCTGCTGGTTGTGGACTAAGGATCCTGCAGCTGGCCCGGGCCCTGCTGCTGGGTGGGCTTCAGGCACGAGAGAATCCCTTGCGCAAGTGGATGAGTGCATGAGACGTGCGCTTTGCCTGCCTGTAACCAGGCAGCCTTAGCCACAGCTGAGATTTCGCCTCGTGCTCGGTGAAGGAAGCAAAGGGCTAACGCGATGTCAGTGCACCGTTGCACATGAGGTTTGAGCTTCTTCGGCTGGCCTGCTTCCTGATGGAGACTTCAGCCTTAAGCTGCGATGTGTTAGCTTATGATGCTGCACATCATCTTAGCCCGCTTGTGGAGCTACCCTCCAGGAGAAGGGCCTAAACTCCAAAGAAGAGGAGGAGCAAGGAGAGGGTGAAGGCAAGATCCTTTTGCCGAACCTGTCGTGGCATTCAAAGAAGCTTCGGTGCTGAGGGGAAGGTGGCACTGAATGGCAGACAGGGACCGGTATGGGTGCCTCGGCAGTATTCAATTTGGCATGTTGCTACTGTGCTTGGGAATCATATGACGTTGAGGTGAAGGTGAGGGCCTGAAGGATGTCACCGATGAGATCGAGGAGCACAATCGGTTTTGAAAATGCAGATGCTCACAGCTGCCGATCTTGGTCTGGCAAGGATGATGCGCAGCTCGAAGGTACTCGGAACGAGCAGCAGGAGCAGCAGCTCCTACCTGAGTCTTTTAGTATGCAGAACAACAAGAGCTGACAACATAAGATGCGCCTCAGGCCTGAACCAGAACAGCCCAAGCCGAGCGAGGACAGGTCTTGGAGAGTGAGTTAACGAGCAGCTTCAGCTGACCCTGGTCGGTGACTGGCAAAAGCAACAGTTTTTGCACTGATGAGGGCAAGTTGGGCCTGATGCACTCGAGCCTTACAGGACAACGCAAGAGAGGTTGGTTTCGACCTGGACACTGAAGCCAAAGCGATGCCACAAGAGGCATTAGAGCGTCTGCGAGCATCATTGAGGGGAGTCTCGGTGTCCCTTGCCGTGGGTTGCTAAACTAAGACTCGACTGGCAGGATGATGAGAAGAAGCAAGATGAGGACAAAGAAAATGAAGACGAGCCAAATGCCAAGCATGTTCTTTCAACCATCGTAGCCTTTCCTGAATTAAATGAACCTGAGGCAAGATCTGGATCGACAGCAAGGCCGACGCCGCACCAAGCATTCGATTCGTGACGTGGCGGTGTTTTCTTCCGGCAGGTGATGTGGACTTATCAAAAGGCGGCATGCTCGATGAAAAGCTTTGGAACGGGGATGAGGAGGACTCCGCTGCAAACGAGAGCGGCCTTATCCCGGCTGCCTGAACTTTTTCGAGGATGACAAAGAAGACGATCAAGATGGCCTGCATCTCAAGCTGCGCTGAACAGATGCCGTACCAAACAGCTTCGTGCTCTTTTTTTGGCTCACTTGTTGCATGTTGCAAGCTCATCCAAACACTCGACTAGACTCATGAAGGTGACGCACCAGAGGAGAAGGAGAAGGGACCGCAAGAAGACATTGAGGTAGGCTGACCTTGTCTTTCCATGCCTGTTCAAGATCTCTCTCGGATCGTCCAGCAAGCAGGTAGCACGCTTTACTTCTGTGGACTGTAGGCGCATGGAGCTCAAGGCGAGGGCGAAGCCGCACGCTGCCTAGACTGCTGTTCCCAAACGTGTGCTGACAGAGGATGCGTACACGCCCCATCTTTTTGTTAGGCGGTTGCGATGCAGGGGCTGGGAGAATCTCAGGACACGACGGCAAAGGATGAGGAAGACAGTCCCTTCCCAACTTGCAGAGGTGAAGCTTGTGCGTTAGCATAATTCCAGAGAATCCCGAGGCAAAGCCAACAAAAAGCCGCCGCCAGAGGAGGACGCAAAGGCTGACAAGACTGATGCCAAAGACGCACCCGAGCAGGATGGTGGACGCTTGTACGGTTCGAGCCAGCAGGGTCTGTTGGTCACCCTTTGCCACGTCAGATATCAGGAGCCGCAGGAGCCTGACAAGACAGAGTTTGAAGACAAAGACGCGCAATTTGACGTGCAGATGCAGCCTCAAGGGCATGGTCCCTACTTGGTGATGCGGCCATGTAGTTGTGGTATCCTGCCTGTATCGTGCGTAGGCAGGATGGTGCCGAGGGCGAAGGGGACGGTGAAGGCTCAGATTTGAATTCGCCTCAAGCCGCCAAAGTCCGGATGTCTATAGGCAGCAGCCAAATTAAAGCTGTCTCAGCATGGTATGTGTGCACATGTTTGCACATTGGGTTTGAAACGTGTGAGCCATTTCACGGGCATGGGATTCGAATGAACGCGATACGGAGCACAAACAATCATACGGGATAGCAGACTCCTCTAGCATCTGCAATGACACCATGAGCTGACATCAAGCTCATTTTGCCTATTTGTTTCTGTCGGGATGCAGGTGAGGGAGAAGGAGAAGGTGAAGGTGAAGGAGAGGGGGATGCAGACTCGGACTTCATCAAGGCCAGCTGCACTTCTCCGTTCATTGTACGCAGCTTGTATCGCAAGAAGGGTTGGGATACGTGTTTGTTCGTAACAACGCAGCAGCCTCTAGCAGACAAACGGACCCGGAAATCCGTGTTGTTGGCATGTATCTTGGGTCAGCCATTCACCCCACTGTCGACTCGCATGTCTATGTCCACGACGATGGGTATACTTACAAGTAAGCTCGCAGTCCGACATCGACATGGATGGAGATGGCGATCGTGGTGACGATGGGGAAGGATCAGAAGGAAGCAAGTGCGATGAGGAGATGTTTGTTGCCGCTCATCTGCTGTGAGAGGGTTGCTAGATAATTTGGATTCAAGGACATTGGTGACCTCGATGCCGCTGATCCTGGCGTCTGCAACCCAGCATCTCCCCTCCCGAGCTGCAACGACATGTTTCTTTTTGGCTGCTTGCATTAATGACTGATGGGTAGACATGGGCTTTCGCAGGGTGGGTTTCAAGGTGCCAGAAGAGAAGATTCCGGAAGATGCCGGGGCTGAAGAGCTCGTTCCTCAGAGAAGTGCTGGACCAGACACATGGATTGACATCCATGGGATTGATGATGTGATGGCCTGAGCACGTTCCCAAGCTGAGAGATAGACCCCAAGACCAGCGTCATACTCAACGTGCCATATTGAATGTGCAGGTATTACAGAGCATTCAGAGAGAACTACACGGGACTCGAAAGTTTTCCGAAGCTCGACAATCATGTCTTGCGTAAGTTTTCACAGAAAAATCATGAAATGGAACGCAGCAAGCCCAGATGAACCTTGCATGGAGCTGGAACTGGCAGGCAGCAAGGCGTCGAACCCTGCGTTGTTGCCTCAGAAGCTGAATCAACCCAACGGTCACAACCCTTCTTGCTGGTTTCTGTCTAGGTGCAGGGTGAGCAGATTCCTGATCAGCAAGAACAGGAGCAGGACTGCGCAGCCTGTCGCAGCTCTGATAGCCTGCGCTTGTGACGGGAGCCTCGGCTGGCCAGGACCAAAGCAGCGAGAAAAAACCTGATGTCGATCCTTCGAAGGCGTACGGTCCTTACATTCGGGACTTTGGCGATCCAGAAAAAGCTGATCATGCGAAGCCGTCCTGGGCTCTTAAGGCAGAAGGCAGGGGAGGAGAAGACCCAGGAACCGCACGACTCTCGGTAGCGGCTTGGGCACACGAAAGACCAAGCCCGGAACCTGAAAAAGGCTGAAGCAGGGCGATCCTGGTGTCAACTCCTCCGGCAAGGTGTGCCTGCCTGCCTGCCTGTCCAAAAGGTTCCCAGCACAAATGTTCGGTTTGCATGGTATACGTTGCGTCGTGCTCTGGACATTGCCAATTGCGCTTGACACAGCCTTGCTCATTCCTCGATCCAGGACACCACAGCGCCCCAAAAGCAGCAGCAGGAGTGGGTTGTAGTGGGTAGACTCAAATGTCGTTCGCATTGTATCCTGCCTGCGCCCTTTGGTGCTGGCAAGAGCGAGGGAGGCAGAAGACCTTGCTAAACAGAAAACTATTTGGCCAATTTTTGCAGATACCGCGTGCAAGGCAACGAGGGCCTAGGGGTTTTCCTCTGAGTCAAAGCTGCCTTGTTTGGGAAACCCCCATCACCATCTGGCTACCTTGACAGTAGTTGCGCGCTGCGAGAACAAGTAGATTGTTGACAAGATTCACTGGGCTTTTGCATGGGCAGTCGTACGCACGCCAGAACCAGCGGCAGCTTGTTTCTGCGATTTGTAAGCCCTTGTGCCTTGTGCGTGGGCGCACGCCCAGCGCACGAAGTCTGAAATTGTCCAAGCACATTTCCGTGAGGATGAGCAGATGTTTGGCGGCAGCACTGGTGAAGCTGCCAACTTCGAGCCGCCGACTCGGGCGCCATTTACAGAAGGAGCACTCAGTAAGTACTTGGAGAGTCTATTCACCAAAAACAGATGATAAACTTCCATGGAAGCCCACAAACACTTGACAAGTCCATTTATTAACGGCCGTGAATTTGGGCCATGGGAACTCTGGCATCCTAAGGTCACAAGCTCAACAGGATGCACAGGATGTCTCTGCTGGTGATGAACGAGGAGGCCATTACTTTGATCAGACTTGCCAGAATTGGGCACAGCCAAGCAGACAGATGGCCCAGGTTCAACAGCGACTGCCACCGACTCCAGGGGCGATGCTGCCGAGATGACGTCGGTCATGTCCTTGGTATGACGGCACCTTGCACGGAAGTAAAGATTAGAACATGCTCTACCGTAGATCTTCACAGACGTGAGCGCATGACTCACCCAGTGCCATGTTCAGCGACGGATGCTCATGACAGCGACTGGTGTATATTGGTCTTGGTGCTGAGGCCAAACCGCAAAAGTCAAGTGCAGCTGACAAGAAGCATTGCTGACCTGTACCGGCACTGCTTGAGCTCAGACAGATTCCAGCAGTATCCGTGAGCACCCTCACAGCCTGTGCATTTGCTTTCCGTCAAGCACAGCAGCGCCTGCCTAGTAAATTAGACGATTCACGAAAGCTAGCGTAGCTAGGCTTGAGTGGTCTCTTGCCTTTAGCAATAGTCACGGCAGACAAGATCTGGAATCAGTGAGCTTTACTTACCATCGGAGAAGCTCTACTCATATACTCACATGTTCGCTATTGGCTTGTTGACTTTACTTGCCCTTGCCCCGCTCACCAAATTGGCATGGCCATAGCACGAATAACATCATGCTCGGTGGTTGCATCAACCCTCCCTCTCTTTCTGTAGTAGTGCTCACTGTGTCACCAGCCTTGCACAGTCATGCTACGTAGCATCAAACATCCCTACTCTTTCTGTGGGGTCCCCTGCCCCTCATGTCAATGTGTTCAAGTACGAGTGGCATGATGCTTGGTGGTTGCTGAAGACTGGGCTAGCTTTCACGAACCTTGCACCTCGCATGGTTCTCAAACATAGTGTCGGCATGGGTGGTTCATTGATCTGACGCTAGAAATCTGGATGTTGCACTGCGGTGCCCAAAACAGATCCTTCAATTTGAGAAGAACCCATGTGCCAGGCAATCTCCCGCAAAGCCGAGCCCTGCCGACGCAGGAGAGAGCGAGGACAGGAATTGCTGTTAACTGCAGAATGATGAACGAGGTTGGAGCAACCTTTAACGCCCCCTCCGCTCCTCTGCAGCATCCACAGCCCGCTTGGACAACCTCCACTTATTGCTACACTGGGCAGTCACAATAAATGGTATCCCGGAGTGACGTGCACATCCGGCTTTTAGCAGGCTGACAAGCGCGCAGCCATGCAGTTCGCAGGAGCGCCGCTTGCAGAAGCTTGACATTCTGCGAGAAGCCGATGGTGGCAAGGATGCTGGGCTCATACTCCGACACTCCAATGCTGCTTCACAGATCAAATACCTTAAAAGCCGTAGGCCACCAGCTTCACTTCACTTTCAGAAGTCAGGGCAGGGTTAATGACCCTAGCTGACTGAGGCGATGGGTGAGCAACAAGAGGCTGGTGCTGAGCCCGGGCCCTGAAGACCTGAAGACCTGCGAATTGAAGTCTAGCTGACGTTCAACAGGAGGGTAACGCCGAGGGCAAGGACGGAGGTCCGAGCTAGATGCGAGCCAAAGCTCACACTGGAAACTGACTAACTGAAAACATGCAATCGAAATTCTGACTTTCAGAGTAGCACCTTCCACAGCAAGGTCTATCGTCCTGGCAGTGATGTTGGGTCTACAGTGATGATATGGAAGCAACGGACATGCCTGCACCGCAGAGCAGCGTGCATTCTCAATACACAATCTAACGGATATGAACGCCACGGCATCCGACGGCCAGGTATCAAAAGCCTTGGGCTAAACGGGAACGAAAGGATCAGCGGATTGGTCGCGATGTTGACAGAAACCGGTTTCAGCACGGGACGCAGCATACGCGGCATTGGGCTTGGGAACGCTTTTGCATCCGGACCTCTCATCATGGGAATATTGGGAGGGGGGGGGGGGTCACTCTCCTGCACCTGTTTCCAGATTTTTTTTTGGAGGTTGGGGGGTGGGGTCCAGGAAATATGCGACGGCGAGGGGCTGAAGCCGAAGCCAGGGGGCCTGGGGAGGGCACCTGCTTTGGGCTATAGATCAAAAACCCACCCACCCTTCCCTTCCCCAACGCAGAGCCCTGAGAGGTCGGCGGATTCGTGCAACAGTATGGGTTGCAATGTTAGTTGGTCTGATGCATGCCCTCATATATCGCGGAAGACAGGCTTTCCGCGTCAAAGGTCTGTGTTGTTTTCACTCTTCAACGTATGTAGGATCACGACCAACTACACGAGCTTGGCTGCTAGTCTGCCATTCAACAATGGCCCTTGACAGGCTTCGGCAGGCTTGTAAGAATGACTGGGGGGTGGGTTTGTGGCAATGTTCTTTTCGACGTTTTTTGGAGGTCTTATCAAGCACTGCGGCCAAAAGGCTTTCAGAAAGTACAGGGAAACATGTTGCATGCAAAGCTGAGAATACCGTGGTCTGGCTGTTTAGCTGCTGAGGCAAGGACTGCACCTGGCAGATCCAAAGAGCGGGCTGGAAGCTTTGGGCGAGTGCCAAGATGCCGTCCCACACTGAGACTTGTGAAGTTGGTTCGTGGCTTGATGCATCGCCATATCTCGCCGCACGTGGCACCTCTTGAATCTTACTATGTTCTGCTTTGTAAGGCGGGTGCAGACCAAAAAGCAGTGGGTGCAGATGGGCAGGCGGATCTGCCCAAGCTGCGGATGCAATTACTTTTTCTGGGCATTTGCCAGCTAAAGTAGCTAAAGGCGTATTCCCGACTGTAGATTGCAGTCTTGTCGGCATATGGACTATGTTGCATTACTACATCTGCGTGCCTTCCACAGGAGGCTGATGAGGATAGCAACGATGAAGCTCCGGCGATGGAAGAAGACAAGCCAGGCGCAAGTGAGTCTTAAGCAGGTACCTGCTGGTCTGCAACTGGCGTGCGCGACATGCACTATGCAGGAAGCCTTTGCATGGCATGTCAGGACAAGAGCAGAACACCTTGCTGTCAGCGGCTTAACTGGAAGGTGAATGCTGGCCACGCCACATGCCAAGTGATGGTGTCATGTTGAGCTGCGACAAAACGCAGTCTTAGGCCGAACATGCGACTTCAGGACTGGAAATTCTGTTCTTGTATCTACCGATCAAGACAGATGTCCTGTCACGGCACGGGTCAGCTGCTGAAAGAACCGAGTGTGACTGCTTCAATCTGCTGCAAGACTTTCAGAGACGCCTGTTCCTGTGCAGGAGATGGACGGTGCGCAGCCCCCTGATGAAGCAGGCAAGCTTCAAGAGTTCTGCCACGATGTCAAGGTCTCCATGTGTCCAAATGAGTCGTCCAGGCAAAGTCAGGGATGCAACGCAGACTGAAGTTGCCGATGATGAGATGCAGCTGGAGGCGGCCTTAGGCTGCCTTTCTCCGCTTCTCCGCTTCGTATCCGGGCACTTCCTTGGCCGTCGCAGGGCTTTCGCGGTGGTGCCAGCTCCGTCCACGTTGCTCCTGCAGCTCTTGCTTCAGTGCAAGTGCAGGAGGCCCGTGAAACGCATTGGCCAATTGACAAGACTAGGCAATTGCCACGGAGCGCAGCCCAGGGTTGCAAGCTGGCTCTGTTAGGCAACCGCTGAAGCTATGGAAGTCGATGATGAGGGTGAAGGTGGTTGGAGGAAGAGGTCTGACCAAGATGTCATGAGCTGAAGTGGTAGTTTCACTCGGACATCCGAGGTCAGAGCACGAAGCCATGCAGCTCTGGGGTCAGCATCAAACTTAGCAACCTTCATGAGGCTCTTTGACCAAGCTTCTCACAGCCAGCTTGTGAATTGTGTGAGCCAACCGCTTCCTATCTTTGTGCATTCCACTACTTTTCTACGACTCGCATTGTGTCTCCTGATTTCTGTGGTACTTATAGTGCATGTCTGCATAGCATGATCTTGTGCAGCGGAAATCCTACAGATTTTGTCCAAGGCTTGAGCGGAGCACCACGCCGCTGTCGGCTGCTCTCTGCGAGCAGTTGAGGAAAACAGTGCCACAGCAGTTGTTGCCGCCAAGCCAGCCGAGGGATCCCAACAACACGTGGGGTCCCCGCAGAATAAATCCCATGACTCCCATGATGGTATGGGCGCAAAAGGGGAAGCCTTGTATCATCTATTTGTTTCATGCTTGCCAGGACCATCCTCGAGCCAACTTTGAAAGGCCGCCGGTTCTGAAAGACCATGCAAACAGACTGCAGAGGGACGGTCTGCGGCCCGCAGATGGTCTGCTGGCTGTCCAAAACAAGACATTCCTTTCATCAAGGAGGTTAGATGAAGGGAATTCGATTTGGTTCTCCTGTGCGGCAGGCCGCTTGCAAGGCTACTTCCGAACGGGCAAGAGGATTTCGATGAGACGAGCTGCAGCCCTGGCGTTCGCCAGTTTTGTCAATGTCAAGGTTAGTAGACGGGGCTTTCCTTTCCGACTTGCCAGCTTTTCGGTAGACCCAACTGGACTTCAGATGATGCATCCCTGCCCAAGGTCATTCCTTTCATTGCCTCCAACTACCGCCGCGATAAGATCTGGCTGCGGCGGACAAAGCCATCAAAACGTGAGTACCAGGCTGTTGGAACTCGCTAGTTGAGACATGGCGGCCAGGTTTTTGATGCTAGGTGGAAGATAGGTTTGGCTTTGTCCACGGTGCAAGAGAGATTCTGACATCAGATTGTCGTGGCAATCGACAACTCTCGCAGCATGCCTCAGCCTTGGATTCATGTCCACCAAGACTAAGACTCTGTTCACCCAGAAGCTGCTCTGTAGGAAAGAGTGCGGAGTTGGCCCCAACGCCCTGCAGACTCTTTGCGTGCTGTGCCAGGCCACTGAAATCGCCAACATTTGAGCACATTATAGTAATCACATCTTCGCGGGCTGATCACAGAATGATATGGGGAGTGCCCGCAGGCACTGGCACAGCTGGAAGTGGGTGAATATGCCGTTCTTGCCTTTGGCAGCGCCAGGCTCTGAGTCCAGTTCATGCTGTTTCCCTTGGCTGACTTGATCTGGGGCACTTTTCCACGAAGAGGTAACAAGAGGGCAGGGCCTCTGCATGTTCGCAGGCTACCTGTGCGCTCAGGCAACGCCGCGTGTGCTGCTTCCCTTGGGCTCAGGGTCTCTTCCTCAGTCTCAGTGACTTGTCGGGCCACGGTAATCAATGGGACCGCTTTGCAGCATCAACGGGAGATAACGAGGCAGCCTCATGCCAGCAGCTTCAACTGGACTCAAGCTGGGCCGTTGCTCCGTGAGATGCGAGCTCAGAAGAAATGTTGTTTGTGGTCCCAGTCCAGGGGTCGGCCAGCTAATTATCATAGCTCAAGATGCCGCATTTGTTTGTCCAGGGCATCCAGGATTTTGCAGGTCAATCGGCTTAAGCTTTTAATTTGAGTAAAAGGACGAAAATGGGAACCCCCAAAAATGGAATCAGGAGAATATAGTAGGAATATAATCGGAATATGAGGACCCTGGTAGGTATGTTCCTATTATATTCCTGCTATATCCTTGAGGTTCAGAGGTTACCAGATATCACAAAAGCATTTTTTTGACTTGACCTAGGGCCGTGTGCAGGTGAAGCATTATACAGCTTTGTCAAGTTCTGCGTTCCATGACTCCCTGGTCACTGGTTAGGTTCACCTTTGAGGAAGAATCAGTCCAGCCTGAATCTCAGAGTTTTTTTGTCCACGTTTCGCTGGCCTTGCAGCAAACTCTGAACATCACCCTAGTCTCAAGCCAACACGGAGTCAACAACCGCAGGAGCCACAATCGCAGCTTGGCAGACCTGATGCGCCTCAGCTCTGAGCTGTTCGACGAGCCGCAACCTGAGGAACGGGCTTACGCAGGAAGTTCCTCCTTTGTGCTTTGTGCTCCTGGCTGCCCCACGTAACAAGGCGAAATGGCCCAAATCCTGCGAGACCGTTCAGCCGCTCACTCAGCCCGGCGAAGTCTCGTGAAAAGCCCAAGACCTTGTTCCCGCAACCCTCTCCAGTCACTAGCGTCTGCCTAGTTCTTATTGTTTTGGAGGGTTCGCGAGTTTGGGATGGTTTGGGTGATTCGGGTTGTGGATCAGCAGAATGTCCATGATTGCCCCGTCTGCCTGGCGAACGCCCTGCTCTCCACCTTCGGTGCTAAATGCTGAAGTGTGCCTGGCAAGTTTGCTGATTCATATGGGATGTCTGTCAAGTGACGCCGACGTTATGTTCTGCCCGGCGATCAGGAACACCTTTCATGTATTTTCAGCTTAAGTGTCAGGACGGAGTATGTGCACTTGTCTAGCCAACATGCTTTCATTCGGCATGGCTTCATGGGTCCTGAGAGTGCTGAGCTTGCGACAAGGATTGCCTTTAGGCGTCATGTTCGTCGAGGTACATGCCGGGATTTCGTTGTGGCTGCTAAGGGTGCTTTTTGGCACCCCAAAGCCGCCCTAACACACTTGAGCGCGCCCAACCCTGTTAAAGTGTGCCGCGTGGGCAACAGCCATCAACACCCTCATTAGCCAACTGGAGACATTCTAGGACAAAACATTGTGTTTTAGGTGTGTTGAAGACAGCAAAGACGCCAGATTGGCCAACCTCAAGAGATGATCGCAGAAGGCAATTTGCTCCACAAATCAAACTATCGCATTGCAGTTAGATCGATGTGATTGACCCGATCCCCAGATCGGTCAAAGGGAACCCAAGCTGTACTACGATTCAGTATGCTCCCCGTGCCAGGTTGATGCCGATGAGATCACGAAGCATGCTTTCCCACGCCGAAGTTCGTAGGGTTTTGGGCTTGCGTTCAGCTATGTTTGGGCTTATTGCTCATGTTTGTGATCTACTGGATTCCTAAAGAGATACGAACCCTAAAGTTCTTCAAATCGCAAAGTTGACTATCTCCAGAATACACTGCGCTTGCCAAGCTTTGGAATACCCAGCTAGCAGGCCAGATGAGCATCATCATCTCTGATGGTCGTTTCAACAAGAACAAAGTCCGCCCATGGGCATGGCTCTCAGATTATGCGTTCTCTTTTTTTGGAGCATGCCCAAAATGATGATCAAAACGCTAAAAAGCTAGGACTCTCGGAGTTTTGGGAGCTGCAGCATTATGATGCCATCACAGTATCCTGCCAGAGTTGTAGCATTTCCAGGGTGAGTGGTACGGCAAGGATTGCTTTAGCGTTCCTGAACATGCGGACAGACTCCACGCTTCTATTGCAGATATCAGTTGTCTGCAGGAGGTGCTTTACACAAGTTACCCAAGTTATGCTAAGTCACTAGCTCCGTTGTGCTGACAAGCTAACTGCTAACTGCTTTGGAATGACATGTCAGAGGTGCATGCTGCACTGGCGCGACAGCAGCTCCCACTGCTGATCATTGTTGATGCAGAGTCAGTGAGGGCCGAAGCATTGTGGGAGGTATACGGTGCCTGTATCAGAAGCATCCCTGAGATTTCGATCTCCTGTTCTGCAAGGAAGCGCCGGCAGCAAACGTGCGGGCCTTTATGCGCTACATGAGGCAAAGGCGAAGGCTCAGCTGCCTTGGTTTGTGTCTGTCAGCTGCCAGGATAGCTTGGGCGCTGCAAGCCCGAAGAAGCACGAATGGTATTACTATTGCTATTATTACTATTGTTACTGTTAGTACTATTCGTACTTTTATTGTTATGATTATTATCATACTCATTTCGTATTACGATTATTACACCTTATTACTATTGCTATCTTACTGTTACTACGATTATTATTACTATTGGACGAAAAATTCCAGCCAAGGCCTCGACTTCAAAAAGAAGCGTCTTTGACCTGCGAGCCGTGAGCTACGAGGGAGGCAGCTGCCAGGCCTTCCAAGAAAGCAGTGACATTAAAGCTTTTTGCAGGGTTGTTGTTAAGAAATTTCAAATTGTGGTTATAGCTAATCATACAAGAAACTAGATTTGTGTCCACATTGCCTTATTATGTTGACTTGACTTTAGTCTTGAACAGCAACCTAGTCTGATTCCGTGGCATGCTGCAGGTTGTGCCGTACTTGTCAGATTTTCCATTTCCCTACTACGTCGTCGTGCAGGATCGGCTGCCTTTTGCTTGCCTGCCCTTTCCGAAATGAGAAGAATTCTGATAAAGGTCCCTATAGTTTTGTTTTCGGAGAGCACAGGACCTGCAGACCCTGCCGGCTATCCTGAGTGATGTCATGAAGCAGTGGTCCTGGGCTTGGCTTTCACCATGTGACCATGAGAGGAATGACGCCACAAATGACGAGAAGTGCTATTAATCATTATGACTCAGAGGGTTTTTCGTGGTTGATACGGAGGGGTAGGCATTCTTATTCAAACCATCTTTCATCATCTCTCATGAAGTGCCAGTGCATACTAGTATGTCTAACACATGTTTGTGATTTACAATCTAGACGGCTGCTGCAGTCAAGCCTCAGCCAGGTCCACAGAAAGGGCTCCATTTTGGAGCCTTTCGATTCACGCAACAGCATGCCGCATTCCATGAACTTGCCGGTCGCTGAAGCCAAGGTTCGAGTTGGCATCAAGCGCCTAACCTTGAAGACAAGGCCACCGGCGGGGGGGGGGGGGGTTCTCGGTTCACTGCACTTCAGATTTGTGAATGTTCAAAGCTTAGAGTGCTTCTTGCCTCAGCGTTCTCATGGCTGAGGTTGCCTGGCGCTCCCGCATGGTCGAGGTGAGTCGGGTGGCAAAACGCCCCCTCGGGCTAGCGCGCGGCTGGCGAGGGCGGATTCTGCTGTAGCTTTGCTGCGCATTTGGGCAGCCTCTGTGCGATGGCCTCAGGCGGAAGCCCAAAACAGCAAGGAGCTAGAGAGACGAAGCTTCCAAGAGCTTTCCTGCCAGTGCTAATGCACTTGGCCCGTAAATGATCCTGGCCACGTTGCCAAAGATGCCGCCACGGCCGAGTGTGGGGTGCTTGACTTGTCGTAACAGGTTTCAACGTGATAACCTCCGTAAAGGGATTGTCCGTGCCCCGCATCCTCATAGCATCTCATAGCCTTTGTGCAGCCAGCGCTTGGACAAGCCGCGTGTGCCACGCAGCAACCGCGCACCGAGGCTGGCTCAGCAGTCAGAAAAAAGCTTCGTGGATTTCAGCGCGCAAGGCAGCACTTACTGGCGGCCGCAGACTGGCAAGCAGGAGTGTCGGAAGACAGCCTCTTTCGGCTCCTAAGGCAGGACGACTCGTTCTAAAAAGTCTCAAGACAAGTGATCTTGCCGGTGAGCAAGTACTGGTATGTACTGGTGTGAAGGTGAATACCTGGTATCTCCAGCGTGTGACAAGAAGTAAGAGAGTATTTTTGCGAGAGGATGCTGTTCAAATCGCCGGCCATGGCCGCCCGCCGGCAATGGCCACTACCTGCCATCAACTGCAGCACACAGCACTTGGCCTACCATTGACAATAACATACATATCATACACCAACAAGGCCGGTGGAATTCATAGGGAGCAATTGAGCGGCCCCGAGAATGCCCAATGTCGGTAGCCTATCCACTTCGCTGATGCCGCGAGCCCAGCTGCCTCCCAGCAGTCGTGTCTTGCCTGTCTCGCTATGCTACTGCAGCTGTCCAGGTCTGAGGCCGATGCCAGCAGCGAAGCTGTGCTGCCCGAAACATCGGTGCTTGGCTAAGCCATTGAGCCCGCCCGCTAGTTCTGAAGTTGCGGTCACTCCCCGCTGCCCGCTGCACCTTGAACCCGTGTCAGCGCGCACACGTTCAGACAGAAAGCTGCAAGTTCCACAGCAAGCTCCGTTCAGGTTACGTCAAACAGCTATGCCGTGCCAGCCTCCAGCCTCGGCCCCAACTTCTCAGCCTTGCAAAAGTCCGACAAAGTTCACGCATTCTACGCAATCTACACGGCAGAGGCCCGGACTCGGCCGGGGCCTTGCACCCATGCGGGGACTTGCAGTGTTTGTGGATGATCCGTCTTGAAGCTCCCAACAAGCAGCACCATGGGTGAATCGCCATGAGTTTCGTGGGCAGAGGAGGCAGACGGTTTGCAAGCGTGAGCATGCATCTTGAGGCGCAGTTTTCCATGGACTCTCCTACAAACGGTTTCTCGCACCGTGCTCAGGCAATGCCGTAGACTGCATAGCTAGTATGTTCGGGCGGTAATGCGGCCTGTTGTCAGATAGTTGCTGTGCTTGCGCTGTCACTTCGCTGGATGTTCGAGAAACTTACCTCAGGTCGCAACCTGCGAGCGTCGACATCGTCGAGCCTCGTCATCCAGCAGTGAACGGCAGCTGCCTTTGAGGGCTTGTCCGTCTGGGCTGGCAGCAAATGTTGTTTTGCAGACTAGGCCCTGTGGCTCCGGGCACTCCGAAACTGGCATCATCACCATCACAGTCGCGGTGCCACCCTGAAAAGCCTAGAAAACTGACGTTGCCCTAAGAAGTTTGCAGCCCAAGTACACTCCAAGCAGGGTGTGGCTAAGGATTCGCGAGGCCAAGGAACGACCATCGCCCAGCGGGCCAAGGCGTTTCCTGTCTTCGAGTTCCCACCTCGCAACTCAAACAATCATTGTTATTGGAATCCTTGAGGCTCCCCGATGTCTGCAGGGAATCGCTGCGTGGTTTGAGCAGCTGCATGAGTAATCATGGATCAGGTCCAGAAGATTCTCGGGTGATCAGTGAGAATACAAGAATCAAGTCTTTGCACCGTCTCCTGCAACTCTTGCAGTCTTTTGGCATATGAAGGTTCTCCAAGATAGAAGACCCGTCAGGCGGCGAGTCTCGGGGCTTGCCCGTCCTCCTCTCGAAGGGCGTTGGCTTCAGCGAGTCGAGGCCATGTCGGACTCTTCATAGCGCATGGGCAAGTGGCCCGCGAGAGGCATGTCACAGCTCGATGAACGAGTTGGAGCCCGATTTGAGAATACAATGTGAGACCATGTGCGTGGAGATCGCGAGGCTGACGTTCGTGTGTATTTGCATGGAAGGGAGTGGGTTCTCAGTTGAGGCGACCAGCAAGCGCTACAAGTAGCACTCGAGGTGCGAGCAGCCCAGGCCTGCAGCATGCTGGAGTTCACCTGCATCCGTTTCGTCCTGGCTATCCTGGCTCTGTGAGGTTCCAGCAGATCAGATCCAGTACCGCATCGGGCCCTGAGGCAGAACATGTCTCGCATGGTTGGGCTTGAGATATATGAAATGGACCAAGCCTTCCCGATATCCTCAATGCTCACCCGATCGTAGAATCAGCTGTGGCGCGATGTGTTTGGCAGGGCGAGCGATGCTGTGCAGGCGGAATTGCCGGCTGCTAGCAGACCTTGGCGGTATTGAAAGTAGCTGCCCTCACTCTGACAGGACAATCGCAGGAGGCCGACACCTTCTAGAACCGCATCCCGCACTGAGGTCAGAAGTTCAACCTGTGGGTTTTTGCTAATGGAGAGAGAGATAGAGAGAGAGTACAGAGTTTTTGAATTTTGAATGGCAGAATGCTTTGTTTGTATCTAGACCGGAAGGATGCATGCTGTCAGACTTTCTGCACCAGGTTACCAGTCGAAGTCGAGCAAAGTCTGACACTTATGACAAGTTGGAAGAAGAGGCCCAAGGGATTGAGACAAAGGGGCACTTAGATTGGTTTGCACCGTTCAGCCGTTTCTGTTGCAGGTGCTTTCCATGATGAGTGTATTGCAGAGGCCGCAGCGCACCGAGGCGTGTGCACCAGCATATCAGGCACACAAGGCGCTGGTGTTGTAGATGGTAGCAGGTGTGTTCCTTACCGAGGCGAGATGTCCCGCAGCTATGGGCCGGAACCTGATCTGTTGTTTCGTTGTTTTCGCCGGGATGGTGGGCTCATTCACCATGCTTGAGCTTCAAAAAGAAAATCAGAGAAGTGGAGAGGAATAGATTTTCCTCGTGGACCTGACGTATCTGGCTCCGAAATTGAATAGTATGCAATGAAATTCCAAGGACCCGTCAAAGCCTGTGATCGCCCGAGCTGGACAAACGAATGGATGTGGCCTCAGCGCTCGACAAAACCAAACTCCACGTGGCTTTTGTCACCCCAATATCCCTTGCCCCCCCATGTAACACTTCTTCGAGGCCGGCTCCGATCACCTTCGCCGCGGGTGCGGTGCCCGGCAGATGCCTGTAGAGCCAAGACAGGGCTGTGCCCGACTGACAGATCGCATTGAACAAGTTACTGCGCGCTCGGCCAAAGGACCCGCACTTGCGCACTGCGGATCGAGCTGCTGCTCGCCTTAGCACAGATGGAGGACGCTTGGAACTTCAATCAAAGGTGGTAGATGCAGAAAGCCTCCTGTCAGCAGACATGCGAAGCGCAGCAGACCAGCGTGAGGAGGACATGTCTCGCTCTCCGCTCGTGCTCGACAGTCAGCTGGGTGCGGGCTGCAAGTATCGCGTGCATTGGAATCCTTGTGTCGGAGTCTCTAGCGAGTATGATTCAGCACTTTTAGCTGAGATCTCCACTGCTAGCCTCGGGCCTCCTCAAGGCATCCATGTCACATGCATCAAGACAGCAGGTATCCAACGGCCACTCGCTCCTCTCGTCAGATGCCGCAAAAGGCCCCGGTTAGTTCGAAGTTTCACTTGATCTGAGCTCAGCTTGAAGAGTATGTTGAGCTCTGGCAGCTGTTGTTTGTTGTCCTCTGTAGCACAGTGAGGCCCTTGCGTAGTCGGAACTGTGGGTGTGGCAGCACGCGACTCGCCTTGGCAAGGTGCAGCGTCCACGGCTGAAGTCTGGGCCTCCGAGTGCCACAGGGCGAACAGACTTCTTTGCATTCCTGACAAATCCTCGTGGGAGAGCCTCCTTCCTTACTCCGAACCATGTGCAGCTGGGTGCAGGTGCTGTTGCAAGAAGCTGTTGGATGGAGTGGTACAGCATTTGTTGCCTTGGCAATGCTTCCAGAGAAAGCAGGCGTTTAGGACATAACGCTTGAAGTGTAGACATTTGGTGTTGAGGTTGAATAGGGTGTGGGGCTGCGGACTCAAAATTTAGGTTGTTCGTCGGCTTGATGTCATGGCGAAATAGTTCAGCTCCTAATGAAAACATCCAGGAACGTGGTATATGACCTATGGAACTTATCTATGGTCTCCAAATTCGCACACCCTATCTATATATATATATACATATACATATATATATATATATGCTCACCAATATTTATAAGGAACCCTATGTATACCCACCCAGATACCCATAAGACCCTGCCTCATTTGTTTCAGATGGTCTGCGTAGCCACTGCCTCTTGGAGTGTTTGAGTGACAGGTACAACGAGTCTGGACCACACACGGCGGCCGCCAGAGTCAACTAGCAACATCAGCGGCACCTCAGCTCAGGCCTCAGATTGAAGAGTGCATCAATCCATGGCGCCTCCTCACTATGGGTACAGGCACCGTTTTCGGACTGGTTTTGGAACAGTTTGATGAGGTGCAGCCTGTGTGCAGTGATTGTGCGGGTCACATGCAAACTCACGCTAGCAACCGCCGCTGCAAGTTCATTTTCAACTTTTTTGGTGCATGACAAAATTGTGTTTTCATGAGGTGGAACACATGGCTGGCCTTTTGCGGCTGTCGCAGGCTTTGGGAGAGGCGTGATTTGCATCTGGCTCTGGTTTTCTTTTCCCAACCTTGCGAGGAAACAGGATCAACAAGGGGTTGATAGGCCCGAGAAGTCGTTGACAAAAAATCTATAAGTGTGGCAGCGCCTGGTTGGAGCTCATTAGGGTTTTTGACAGCCTGGATGCAACAGGTCCATTATTCCAGGCACATGATGCAGGGTTCCAAAGCATCACAGTCCCCGGTGTCAGGTCCCTTTCTTGGGTGCTCAGCCCCAATGTACCCCAATTGCCCCCAAACCCAGTCCCCCAAACCAAGGGGACAAGGTCTTGAGTCAAGCAACTCTACCTGTCAAAGGCGCAGAGGGCACTGGAGCTGCAGACGGAGGTTGGGTTAGTTGTAGTGTTGCTTGTTGTCTTGATGATTGTCCTCAATCATTGTAAAGGTGAACTGACCTTGTCGGTTGTACTTAACATCATTCCTGCTGTTGCTTGTGCCATAGCTGCATGAAGCTACATCATTTTGGTATACTGGCTTCTCTACTGAAGGATAGGTTCACTCGGTGCCACAATGATGCTGCGCTTTCTGCTGCAGATTTCACACGGATGCAGGCCTTGCGCTGGCCGCAGCAAAATGCATCTCCGGTCTCCAAGGCTGGTGGCTGCCCAAGTCTCCGCAGCAGCGATCCCCGTCTTCTCGACTTCAGTCCTGCCACGTGAAGTACATGAGACTCTCATCGATAAGAAGCAGGTAGATAAGCCGTAGGCTTTTCGAGAACACTCGCAGAACGCGGCTGTGCGTTCAGGGACCCGAACGACGACCGTTTGTCGTGGTTGTTACGATTCTTGTTTTTCATTGGTTCCATTCGTGTTGTTTGATGATCATGCTTTGACTTGCCTGTTGCCCTCACAGGAGTTTGAAGTGTTCGCTGGCAAGTTGCAGCGGCAGCTTGCAGAGGCCCCGTGTGACCGGTCTCTGCATCTTGTGCCATGGAAATCAGGCCTTCTCGGGGCCTGCTGAAGACATCGTGTCTTCGATTTGATGTCTTCTTCTGCCTCTGTCCATCCTTTGCTCAGTTGCGACGGTAAGACAGGTGGCGCTGTTGCCATGACTCGGACAGTAGGTGTCCCTACGATTCTTTTTGGACCTTGCGAGGCTCAGACAACCTCAAGAGCCTTGGAGGACTACATTGCCTGAGTCTCAGCATCAGGCTTCTGACGCAAAGCGTCAGGTCTTGACCAGCTTGCGGCAAAAGATTTTGCCGTTCTTGCCATCATCTCCATCTGGCGGCTACTTATCAGTTTGTTTCTAATTGTAACCTTCCTTAGTATAGCCATTGACATTACATTGGGCTCATCATATAGTAGTTTCCATTTTCTTTTCCATTATCCCCATACAATCCTATATAACCCTATATACAGATATTCTCATGGTATTTTTCCGAGGCAAAGAGACCATCGCCACGAACCCCAGCGGCTGCGCCACGGGTACCGGAGCATGTGGAAGAACCGCACGCGGCGCTACCCGAGGTGCTTGCTCTTTTAGGTCGTTCCCAAAATTAGGGTCCAATTTTGGTACCCCTAAATGTTAGGTGCCTTAATATAATCTATAGCCAAAAGGGGTTCATAATTTTGGGATCTACCCTTTGTCTGTGGTAAGTGTATGGCGAAACAAGGGATTAGACAGGCACGACAAGGATTCCGTGGGGATTGCTCTGCCATGAGACATGGATCGTGACTGTAAGGTGCCCAAAGCCATTGCACTTCTGTATTTAGCTTCAAGGCAGCTGTAGTAAACAACTTGCTCGCACTACCAAAGTCAGTAGTCAAACTCGGTGCATGAAGAGGAGTTGCGGAGCACTACATTGCAATGAACACAGCATTGCTGTTGCTAGCTTGAATTGTGGCAGGCTGTGCACCCGCGGTTGCTGAATGGCAACCACATCACAAGTATGTCGATTCCAGAGGAGGCTCTGGTGCCGGGAAAATTGAATGTCGATGGGGTTCTGGTTCTCGTATATTGCGGCAGCTGTTGGGACTCCCTAATGCTCCCTGCCAGCAGGCGAAGAGCACCTGGCCCCAAACCTCAAGCTGGCACTTGCATAGCTGCACAAATCACCGTCCCCGCAAGGAACACCTTGACAATTTTCACTTTATGAGCTTTTTGTGGTGCGAATGGTTCGGCTTCGATATTAGCACGTGGCTGTGGTTTCGAGCCGCGAAAAAGAACACGAAATAGATGGGAGTGGGCTGCGAATCTTAACCTCGCCGGTGTACGCAACAAACGCGTGGTGGTAGCAGGGTTTCCGCTCATGTCAGACAACTCGTAAACCAGAGTAACACTGAGTAAGAGTGCTGTGGCAGAGGGCAAAGTGGATTGTGGTGGAGGGTGCGGGCATTTCCTGATTTTTTGATTTTGGCTCTGTGCAAATTGAATTCTTTCCAGCAAATAACAGGCGAAGAGAGAGCGTTGGCGTGTGTGGCCGTCCGCCCCCGTGAACGTATCCAGAGCTTCAACTCAATCAGCTGATTTGCACCAATGCGCTACACCCTTTGCTGCCAGGCCGAGGAATTCCTTGAGGAGAGATCTCGGCAAACCCAAGCTCAGGAAGCGCACGAGCCAGTTCGATCCTAAGGGTACAGGGTGCAGACCTGGTACGTGGTCAGGCTTATGGACTTTAGGATCAAGATCCTGTGGCTGTGGCAAAAGAACGGACCCCAAGACTTTAGACGCTTGCGCAGGTGAGATTGTAATCGCACCACAGGGTTATGGTATCGCCCAAGGGAGTACATAAGAGAACGGTAATGTGGTACTTGCAATATCAGGCCGCGGAAATCGCATGAGTTTCAGCACGACAAGCTTTGGAGGCATACGTAGGTTCTGCATCTACATTCAAAGCAGTTGCATAGATTTTGCAATCGTTTCGCAAGTAATCACAGGAGGGCATTTTGGAGTGACGTCTGCATCTGCCAAAGCATTCAAGGTTTAAGGTCCTCAATATAAGGTGATGGATTTTTTGCCTTCGGTGCTATAGAACAGCCAAAGTTTCCTTCTCTTCGCAACCACAGCTGGCTGCCATTGAACCACAAACAAGGATCAGGTTGAAGGTGCCCCACAATATTCGGAGTCTGCAAAAGATTAGTAGCACCCTCCTAGTTCTCAGGGCAGCGGCGGCGGTGGCGGTGATGTTGCAGGGGGTGACAGTGTCCGTGCTGTGTCAGGCCCAAGCATGCCAAGTCAATGCTGCGCTTTATCTACGGCTCTGTGTACCCAGTGCTTTGACTGTGACGTTGCTGGTGGCATGGGCATCTGTGGTTGGCACAAGCATGGGCTTGTTGGCACCTGGCAGGCTCTCACGGTGAACCAGACCGAGTGGATACTACAGAGCACAAGGCTTGTGGTTTTTGACATGTCAGAATTTTGCACTACCAGAACACTGAGAGCCGCTGTAAGTCACACTGGCCTCATCCCGGAAAGGCACCGGTGGCAGGCCTCGACGCCGAGCAACTCGCGACTCCTGCGACAGGCAGGCCGACATGCATCGTCGTATGTTGTCGCCCGTTGGTTGGCCCGCAGCCCCCCTGCTTCTTGTTTTAGGAGAATCTTCAGCCCCTCTGCGCGCTCCTCATATTTGGACCAAACGGTCTTTCTGCATCCAGTCAATGTGAGGTTTGCAAGACCTAGCAAGCGTGTGAGCGGTACATTATGTGGCTGTTGTTGTCTAGTCTTGTTAGCACAATCGTGCTTGGGTTGACGTGGAGCATCGAACAGCAAAGTCTGTCACATGAACGCATACCTACACCCTGATTTGCTTTTTTTTTTGCATCGAGGTCTCCACATTTCGCTGAGGGGCAGAAAGATGACGAGAAGCACTGGGCCCGGACATCCCTGTTGTCACCAAGCAGACGTTTGTGCATTGGAGTCTGCCATCCGGAACTTGGAGCACGCCTGCATCTCTCGATGACACAGACACACACGCACACTGTCATGCACAGTGAACTGCATGAGAGCCAAGAACTTACGCAAAGTACATCAATTCCAATTGGTGCTTCGCGAAATCAGCATGTGTCTGCTGGCCGAGTTCTGAACATCTGTGGGAGTTGCCGCCTCAGAGATTCTCACTGGTAAGTCAACATCGAAATTCAAGCCGCCATAGCCAGTATTGATTGTGTGTAACAGGAAGGTCTGAAACCAATCTGCTGTGATCAGGGTTAAGCCGAGTTGCAGGAAACACTGGTACGTACAGCTTTCGCTGAAAGCAAGGTTCGTGGTTCAGGGCCAGGTCCCTGGCGACGAGACAGCAGACACGCTCAGGAAGACGGTGACATGCTTCCCAGGCCCGTGAACACACTTCGAAGTCACACGTGCCACAGCACTGCTCTTGCTTGTTGAGGTGATGCGATGTCCCGTCTGGTTGCCAGTGGTGTTGCCTGTGTAGGGTCCACAGACCACAGCTTCTACTGACACGTTATAAGATTCAAGCCGTTATGTCCTGTCATAAAATGGCCGTTGTGCAGAGCGTTTCTTTCCAAACTTCATGGGCACTGATGTAAGCGAGTCAGAGCATCTGCCAGTTCATCGAGCCTAGGTCTGTGCGAGGGGACATCGGGTAGATCCAACAGTGCCGAATCAAGACGATTTGGTGTCCCCTGGTCGCACATTTTGCCACTGTTGACTTTTCAGCTGTCATGTCAAAGAACTGAGCACGGATTGGCCGCCAACGGCAGGCCAATCATGAAACAGCGGTGGCAGTAGACGACAGGAGCACCGGCACTGATCAAGCAGGCAGCCCCAATAGCTGAGGCTGGCGATGTGCTCGTGGGGCGATCAAGGCCGGGCCAAGCTGTTGTTGAGGCCAAGAATTGGCGCTTCCGGGCGTCTGGGCTGTTCCCGTCAGCAGTTGCGATTCGCCAGGGAGTGTCGCGCTGTACGGCGTTTTCGATGGCCATGGACCCGCTGGACATCGTTGTGCTGCGATAGCTCGAGGACACGACAGCCGCGATTTGTTCTAATTCTCTGGGCGCGAGATTGGAAGCAAGCATTTCCGTTGGCTATTTGCGTGTATTTATGCCTGATGAGTGCAAGGCTTCCTGCCTGAGCGAATCTTTGGAGACCCAGAGCTTCTCGTGAACCCACCAGAGGCTCCAGTCTTCTCCTGCAGCCGTTCTGTTTATGGTTGCTGCATCCTAGCCCGGTCTGCATCTGCAAAAAAGCATCGCGGTCCATGGTGCCAAAAGGTTCTGAAAGCGGCTTTCTCCGAAGCTCAGCAGGAGATGCTCAGGCACGAGAGCATGAAGCTTTCCAAGAGGAAACGCATTGTTGCTTCTTCAAGTCAAGTTGTTTTCGTTAGATTTCCGTATCCAATTTCAGCTCCTTAAGTGGTCAGGCATCACCAGACTTGTACAAAATCCTGTTGTCTGGCACCGCACTGTTGGTCAGCTCTTGCCCGTCCACGCGCCGCCCGGCGTATGACTGACTGACTGACTGACTGACTGACTGAAGTGGTCAGGCAGGTGCCGGCAGATGCGTACAGCAGTGGGACCACTGCCACCGTTGCGCTAGTGCTTCGGGGAGGCCCCTCCAGCTAGAGCGCTGCTGACTGCTCGAACCAGACCTGTGACACCCTTGCAAGGGACACTAAGTGCCGAGGACTCCTCAAAACAGGGTTTCTCCTACACAGAGAGAGACCCAGCGGCTCATGACTTGGCAGGCACGCAAAGTCAGGATACAGAGCCGTGCCCCCAGAGGATGCGCGTGAACGCAGAAGTCGCTTGCTTCTCCACACATACTGCGGGGATGTACGCTCGGGAGTAGTTCATGCTGGTCTTCTTCTGGAAGCCGTGCCAGCTTGTGCTCCAACTGGTAAGCACACTTCAACAGCCCAGGTCTTCTAAGATGACAGCTGGCACCACCGCGCAAAGCTGAGGTTCAGAGTAGTAGTAGTGCAGCGTGAGGGGATAGACGGATGGCATGAACTCTCATTTTATGCCACGTTATCAGCGAGATGGCCATTTCACCATTTCTGAGGACACCCAGTATCACAAAACCCAGCACTCATACAGGAAGCATGAAAGAACTCCGCGCGTTGAGGTGCACACTGCCCACGTGGGTGACTCTCGCGCGATCCTGGCCAGAACCTGACATGACCTCGCACGCTGCAGGCTAGATCCAGGCTTAGCTGTTTTTCAACACTTAAGGCTCGGCTGTCCGACGCGGCAAATGGCGGCAAGTGCTTCATAGTCGCAAGCTCAGTCCCTTCTCACAGGCACCGACATGACTTGAAGAGAAATCTGTCCTTTTCTGCTCGCGGTGGTTTCTCACAAGGTCAAAGAACTCACGAAAGATCACCGGCCGGACGATGAAGGGGAGGCTTGCAACCTGAGGCCGCCTGAGGCTCTCCGTTGACTCAACTGTGGACATGACAGGCCCAGCGGATCAAAGATGCCGGAGGGCACATCTGCATGGGCGGTGGCAAGCGCGCCCAGCACTTGGCGGTTTCGCTTGAGCAGCTCTATGAATCTTATACATGGACCCATGTAATCTTCCAAGGCCAGGGTCATTTGCGAGTCTGTCCCCGGCCACCCCGGCTTTGCGAAGCCCTGACATGCCTTGCAGTTCGTTTTGAGAGATGCTCTGATCTTTCTCCTTGCTGCCAGGCTCACTCGCTCGCTGGGTTTGGCTATTGGCCGTGATTGTGGCATCAGCGCTGAGCCACAGGCCTAGCCAAGCCTCGTACCTGCTCTCCCGGGAGAAGATGGAGGCTGTGTGCTGAGCCTCATGGCCAGGTGGTCTCTCATCAGTTGCCGGCTGACGCGGAAGCGCTTCTTATCTTAGGCGTGGTTGCGCATCAGGGTGGCAGCAGCAGGTTCAGATGCCGACATGTCACAATGTTGTAGGTTCAAGGATACTGCAGCGGCACTCTAGATAGACTGCGGGGTCAGTTGACCGAGCATTGCATTATGACCTCATCGCTGCGCGATGTTGCAGCGTTTGCAGTAGGCCTCTGAGAGGAGGACCTGATTGCTGCACCGTCCTTTCCCAGCTTGCTTCCAGGAACCGATGGCCTGTTCGAGTTTTGCGGGAGTCTGCCTGGCTTGTTGCTCCAGAGTCAGTCTCCAGCAGCGAAACCTTGGGCCCCAGATCAACTTCTTGAGTCTCCCTCCTGCTGTCCAGATATGGCATATGTCCGAATTGGACTAGAGCCCCTCTAACAAGCCCAGCTGGCAGGATCCTTGGCATGAGATGTGCTCCATCAAAAAAACCTTGAATGGTGAGATACCACACATGCAAGATGCGAATGGTGCTAATCTTGGAGCGGCAGAGGTCTGAAATCTAAATACATCTAAATACCAGAAAGCTAATTTTGAGCGTGCCGCAGTTTTCCCAAGCTACAACATGTCTAATACACGCGCGGGCTGCCAGACCGAACAGTGGCCGGACACTTGCTGAAGCACGGCGTCACAGAGCGGGCATTAGAGGAGGCACGCCCAGGAGGGTTTGAGAGGGTACAGGGATCAACCTGCAAACATCTGCCACCTATGCGGTATACGGTATACGTGCCAACGGAGTACCCACTGGCGAATCATGGATGGGGGACTCGCTTGCAAGATGCAACAGCAACTTTTGGTTCACGCTTCTCATTTGCTTCTTGCAAATGTGCCCGTATTGAAAACAATCTCCGAAATTTCCGAGTGGAGGATGTAGTCACTTGGGAAGAGCGGAATCAAATCACTCTGCTGCCTCAATGGCGCAAACACCACAGGCCCCGTGAAATTCACGGCCTTTGGCATTCAATGTGAAGGCAGTCTGCAATGTCGAGGGGTAGGGTTGATTGAGCATCCACCAGAGACGCCTAACGGTAATTAGTTGCAGATTCTAATGTTTTGCGCCAAGTTAGATTTTGAGATTGCAGTCGGCGCGCCTGTGGGCTGCAAGGTTGGTGCTGCGTCAGTTGTACCAAGGATTTTATCCGCTAACCCCTGGCAACGCTGATCGATTTGCTCAAAAACCAGTACTGTACTAAGTGAGTAGTTGAGGTGAGCTTGGAGTCCTAGCTCCGGCTTAGCACAGACTGAGCGCCGAAAAGCCCCGCAGTTGGCCAGAGATCTGAGACTCGAAGCCTTGGCAGGCCAGCACAGGAAGTAGCCTGCCAGGAGGGTCAAGCCTGTCAACTCGAGCAAGGTATGAACACTCCCACCACCGAATTTCTGGCAGCGCAAACACATGTGTAGACACATGACGCACGTTGATGTGAGGGAAAGGGTTCCTACAGCATCCTACAGTGTTTTAACACGCTCTCGCCTTCGCACAAACAGCGCCCAATTAATGCTAGGGCAAGCGCAGCCAGTGACCGACCTTCCACGAGAACTCGGCGTGCCCGAGTGGCCCGCGTGGCTCGCTGGTACGATGAAAGTCGGAACGTGCCCCATACAGGGTTAAGTATGATGCAGGCATGATACACCACACGAGCAATTGAAGAATAATGCATGTATACGCACTTATATGTCTCCAGTTTTACGATGCCTGGATCCTGGAGGTTGTGCATGAAGCGATGAAGCTATGGTCAGCAAACTCCTCGAACAGCACAGTGGTCATGATCTCAGCTCCCAGAGGAAGGAGGCAGTCTAAGGCGTACATTGGTTAAGCTTGATCATGCCTGAGTCTGGCCTGTGCCCTACCAATGTCTCAGGACGACGCCACAGCCATTGCAGCATCCTTGGGCCAATTGCATGGAAGTAGGAAATCATAGCCATCTTTTACTTGTTATGCCTGACCCGCACGCTTGCCTGATGCCGACTCATGACCCAATAAATGCCAGGCAATTTTTTGTAAGCAGAAACCCGAGAAACAAGTCGGCTTCTGGCGGAGTAGTTGGCGGCGTTTACTAAGAGCCTGCCAAGTGTGCCAACGAAAGTACACGGCAAGCTGTAAATGTATGTAATCGTCAGCATGGATGAGAGAAACCATCAGCCAATGGCATGACTATTTCAAGGTCATTGTTGCAACTGCACTCACCCGTGCTGGATCACAGCTGGACTCTTTCCGAGCCAACGACAGCCAAAACAGCGGCACCGCACTAGCTGTACGACGTTGGTTGCTCCTGGACCAAGCGCGAGAGAAGCAGGCTCAAGGACCTGGCAGGGCTTTAGTAGCACAAGAATGCTGCTTTATGATCCGAATGCAGAATTCAACTCTTTAACAAGCATCTTTCACAAGCTTGGCAATTTTATAGCGCTGATGGCAGTAAGCGACGCAAGCAGCGCATCATTCCCCGAGAAGGGGCGGAGCAACCTGGCCACGTGCCTCGATGGCTGTAGTGCGGCCTAGCGTTCACTCGCACTGGGTGAGATTTCGGTGGCTTGGACGGACACAAACAGGCACATCTTCCTCGAGTTTTTGACAAGAGCTCAGGATTTTGTGCTGCCTGCCCTTGTGCTGACCCAAGAAGACAAAGGAGTAGTGAGACCCAAGCTTCCAAAGATGTGACCTCCCGTGTAGCCAGTGCTGCAAAGCACGCCTACAGTTGCCACGAGCTGTTCGCAGAGAGTAGTTTTTTTCAGAGTCGTGGAACCAAAGCACGAAAGTAGTTGGGGTCAGGGGGCGGTTTCCGATTCTAGCAGCGCCTTACATGCAGGCCTTGGCTGATGCTGAGTTCAGAGGGCACTTGCAGAGGAGGCTAACTCTGCACAGCAGTAGAGCACACTCGACAAACGATTGGCTTGAAAACGCTCTTGTCCGGACCCTGGCGTCAACCAATCAGTTGCACAGACTGGGCCATCTAACCCAGCACGCCGCGCATCGATGCAACATCACTCAGCGCCCCCTCCCATAAAATTGGAAAACAACTACTTCGTGCTGGAAGGTTTTGCGTTCAGGCTGTGGATTCTGTCAGGCGACAGCCTGTGAGCGGCAAGCCCTTTTCGAAGGTGAGCCTAGCTCTAACAATGGTATCGGGCGTAGCATCCGAGGCAAAGCAGATGCTGCTCAGTTCCGCCGCTCCCTGGGCGTGGCAGGCATTGAAGTGGCTTCAAGTTGTTGAATTCGTCTCTGTTTAAAACACAGTGGACTGTAGAAGGTGTAGGAACTGCGCGGCAGGTATTTGGGAGCTCTAGCCAAAGAGCACGAAGGTGAGGAAGGCTGACTCCTTAGGGTCCTCGCAAAATGACATGGTCACTAGAAGATTTCCCCTTGTTGTCTAGCTACAGTCAAGTGTGAAATGAGGCTTACAGACGCGACAGGCAGCACCAGTGCTGGACCTCACGACGAAGAGCGTCGTGCGAATCAGCAGAAGCATGACTGTTGGCCAGCTGGCAGGAGGGCAAGCGATTCTTCACTGTGTTCCTGCCTTTGTGAGGAACGAATGCCTGAGAGACTGCTGTTCTTTCAGTTTGCAGGAGCTTTGCTGCAAACAGAACCATTCATGAGATCGAGCAAGGGCCGGCTAATTCTGGAGGCCATTGTTGAAATTGTCATTTCGCTATTCAAGAAGTCACGGAATCGTCGTGCATGCTGCATTCATCGCTTTCATCCCTGCTCTGTAGGCCGAAAACACAGCTTCCTTGAGTCTGGCCGTGAATGCTCTGGCATTGTGCAACAGGCTTCCTACAGCAGCAGAACATGTTACCAGTAGGTAGCACGAAGCCATGCGTCGGTGGTTTTTGCGCTGCGCAGGCGGCAGTCGAAAGCTGCAGCGAAACAGCGCGTCGCCTTCGTGCCCGTGGTTCGGGTGTTCCGATACGCGGAGCCCGGCAAGGTCGGAATGTCTGCCATGGTCAGTGTAACTGGAACGACAGCAGCAGCTCATGGCCCCGCGGTGAGGAAACCGTGCACCTGCGCCGCGCCATGCAGCTCCTGATGCATCCTTGGGATGCAGCCGTGCTGCAGACAGAAACGGCGCACGCAGCTGCCTCGGACATTGTCACTCGGCCGAAGCTGGCGAGGCCTGCAGCCGTGTTTTCCCTTCTAGTCAGCATAAGATCAAGCTCGAATTGGCTGAGCCAGCTCCAAGGTGAGCGTAAGAGGAGACACAGACTTGAGACGTCTGAGCGGCTTAGTGGAGTCGCGCTTTCTTCAATCATCTGTTGGAATCGGGGCATCCTGGCCGAGTGCAGAATAGCTCCCCAACAGCCGATGTTACAAAGGCCAGTACAAGGCTCAAACTAGGCAGGTGTCATGGGATGTGCTTGTAGTAGTTAGAGGAAGTCACATCTTCCTTGACATCTTTGCGAATCCAATTCGCATCATGTGGAATTACCCAGGAAGTTGTGGTGGTCCGGTGCATGGGAAACCAAGCCATCGACAAGATGGTGCTTCCGCTCGACTACTTAAGACTTCAGTCTGTGCACTTTCCGAGTGCACATTTCAACTAAACTGTCGTTGCTTGATGCTCGGAGAAACGGAGAAAGAAGAAAGGTCAAGGCGCTGGCCGCAGCGTGGCAGCGCTGTGCGCGCGTCCATGAAGGCCAGCTGAGCGAGGCAAGTGTGGAAGCCACACAAGGGCTTGTGAAATGACATGTTGTCACAGCAGACGTTCCAAGACGTGACTATATACCCTGAATCCTTCATAGTAGCTTCTGTTTTCTTTTCCATTATCCTTATGCAACCCTGCCCTAGACCACCCATGGCCTGCGAGGCCGGCTTTCACTGTTACATCGAGCATCAGCGGATGCCTGGCGTCAGTTCCCAAAAGCTCTACAGTGGCGTGGAGTGTACACTACTCCCTGCATCCGCATGCACCGACTACGTGGCGGAGTCAAAACTGCGGATTTTGATAACTTACTTGACAATGGCCTGATCTGACCCATGCAGATGCCCAACCAGGCAGCAAGAAGCTTGTGGCTTGTTGTCAGTTATCCAGTTATCCATCTCAGCATGCTTTAAGCAGTCACACCAGCACTCCAAGACCACACGCTCTGACCAATTGGCCTGTCGGACAGCCTCCTTTAAATATGCAGCATTCGGGAAGCACCACACATGTAGCCAGACTTCAACCCAAGCTTGACTGCAGCATAACCATCCAACACATCAAGCTAAGCAGACCTGGCTGCCACGGTGCCGAGAAGACGCTAACAACCCTGTCTCGAACTCAGTCCAAGCTGCTTTTCTTGAAGAATCACTTGTCCTGTATTCCCAGAAGCGACCATCATGTTTGACAAGTCTTCAGAAGGTGCGGGGCGGTGCGCGGGCACTATGGCAGCCGTGGCAACGGTTGATGATGACAAGGCGCAGCATTGGGATTCTTCCTTGCGAAGAAGCGATGAGGTATGCTCCCCGTTTCTAAGCATATCTTGCAAAGGAGAAGGAGCGGGTCATGTCGCTGCCGCAGCTGCAGAATCTCATGAAACGGGACCCAGAGGCAGGAAAGGAGGACTGTTCACAGCTGAATCTCTGCCATTGCCGGCCATGTAGGCATACAGCGTGGAGTTCGACCAGCAGTGGCATCATCCTGAGTAGGGGCCAAGACACGCGATCCATGTCCTGGCCATGGTGGTCGGTTTTTGACTCGTCAGATTAGCTTATGAAGCTTGAGAGGTCTCACTTCGACAGCCAGATGGAGATCTTCAAACTCAAGCCGCAAAAGCCGTCAAGCTCTTTCGCTGAGCAGGCCAGGCCTGTCATTATGCCAGAGAGTCAGTGGCGATTTAAGCTTGCAGTGGATCCAAGACTCAGCAACGTTTGCGTCAAGAGTGCCTCTATTTCTTGCTGCAGGTGATGTTTTTGGCACATGTGGCTCCAAGCTTTCCTGACCGGGCAAAGGCGCCGTCTTTGTTAATAACGTAGCTCAATGTCTGAAACTGCATTAAACTGTTAGAGCAAACAGAAGGCGAAGGCAGCATGTCTTGGTATTGAACCTTTGGCTCTGTAAGTCTATGAGCGGACGAGTAGCAGACTGATAAGCGCTGAAGTTCACAAAGTAAGGAAGGATCATATGGATTGCTCTTCTGGGCCCGGTCACATCAGCACCATTTTGCAAGCTTGTCCTGGTGCTTTTCTGGTAGTACCTGGACGTCAGGCTTTTCCGGACTTGTTGATCAGTCTGGATCTCAGGTTTGGCATCCGGTTTGCGAACTTGGCACAGTTCAAGGTGCTCTTCGAGCATCGCATGCAGAGCAAAACCCTGTCGATCTCAGGTGCCTTGAATGATCACTTCGAGGTGATGCACAGCAGCATGCGGACGACTTTGGTGCAGGCCCCTCTACCACAGCTCTGAAAGACGGAGAGTCGGAGAGCTTCATTACTCCTAGCTCATGATTAATTTGGGTGCCCCCCCGGTACTACAAGGAAGCAAAGGAAACATGATGCAAGATTATTCTAGGGTGTCTTTGGGTGACTCGACTCTACGTAATTGGGCTCTGACGCTCCTGAGACTGTGAAACCTGCAGGAGTTATGTACGAATGAGAGTGGGAAGGAGAAAGACAGCAGGAAGAGGAAGATTCACAGTAGGAAAGCTGCTGAAGCCGGAGTTTTTGTCGTTATTTTATTTTTCATGCAACTTTCCAGTGTGCCTTAAAATGACGAGAGGTCTCGCCGGCGAGGTCCGGAAGGAGTAGCTCCAAAAGCAATATCTACCCCTCAATTTCTGAAAACGTCTATAAGCTCGTCAGATTTCAAGATCGGCTCTTGAGTCACCCTTAATTCTTTAAGCCGAGTTCTTGATCAAGAAGCAGTGTCCTGACTTTGGGCTGAGATTTTTCTTTCAGGGTCTTTAAGCCTGCTCTCTGCCTTTAGAGTGCTCTTGGACCCCAAATCTGGCCCAACAAGTTTTTTTTTTGCGTCTAGAGGGCATCACAAATCAGAGCTTTTGCAAGTTACAAGGAGAGTTGCGTCCTCTGAGCATATGCTTGGACTACAAGGACGTTTCCCAGAATTAGCGGTGCCCTTCTGAGGAACCTCACAAGAATATTATAGTACTTGGGGGTCTATATTGGGGTCCCCTGTTTATGGAAACTATCAACTCTGAAAGTCAACAAAGTATCGATCAACTGCAGAACCCCTGTGGCACTTGCCTTGGCATTCGTGAGTAGGTCAGGCATTTCCAAGTTTTGCATTTTATGTGTGGCCAATGTGTAAATTCTATTGACAAGCAGCTGGTAGCCTGGTCCACATGATGTGCAGGCCTTGATCCTGCTTCGCAATCGAAATCAGCTTGATTCTCAGAGTGCAGTTCCATCTCACAAAGTGCTGCGCAACCAGTTCCAGACCAAAGGTTCCCGTGCAGCAAGACACTGCCAGTGTACTTCAAGCTCTTCAAGTCCCAGGCCTCTTTTTGGAAGCCCAGCATTCTACTCTCAGTCCCCTTTAGCATCCGGAGCATGGCTGGGCAGGACAAGGGCCTGCGGAAAAGCATTTTCACCCACATTGTGCGTGACATTGCGCACATGAACCAAAAGTCCAAGAACCAGAAGGTCACTGCCTCAGGTTCATTCTGGCACATGTTATTCAAGGCTGTGCTATACATTATGGACAAGTAAGGTTTGTGGTGGGCCTTTCTGCTGTGTGTCCCGCTTCTCTCGTGATGGCTTCCAGTTGGTTTAGCCTGTGCAAACCTGAGGTGAACTTTGAGCTGCGCGACTTCTTCTTCGCGCGGCTGAAGGAGGCTGAGACTGAGGCGCTGGTCATAGTTGAGTCGCAAGGATTGCTGCGTAGACAGGGCCACTTGAAGCTACGGAGTAACAGCTACTATTGTTCGCAGCTGGTGTCAAAGGAGGCTCAGCCTTGTCCTGTCAGGTATGCCGGCATGCGTGCGCAGTCTTCATTACGATGAAGCTTGACTGCATATTCAAGAGGACCTAGGTCCCTTCAGAGACACATCTTCCGGAAGGGAAATATGAAGTAGGAGCAGGCAGAAGGATAGCAGCCAGGAACAGCTCGCATCACATCACTGGTCGCCACAGTGTTTCTGCCGTTGCGCATTCTGAAAAGAGAAGCGCAGCCCTTCGTCCGTTCCGTACCGCATCATTCATGGAGCTAAGGTACCGACAAAATGCAAGCGACTGAGTCTGTGGAAAGCCGCCAGAAGCTGAAGGTTCCGAGAACTGGTATGCTGTGAAGGTTTGGTGTGACACGCACGTGGCCAACCTCATGAGCCAAGAGCCCAGGAGCAATGAGCCATCAGTACACTCTCCACATGCCACATCATACGTTGGAGCCTGCTGCTGCCGATGCTGCTGCCGCTGCGCCTGTCGAGGTGCTGGACTGCTGCACCCCGATTTGAAGATTGCAGCAGCAAGGCTCTTAGTTGCTGGAAACTTTGGGAGGCTCACTGGCTTCTTGCGTTCGCACAACTGATACGAACTGTTCATGTGAAGGCCTTGGCGCACTTGTTCCTTGGAAACAAGACGAAGGCTGAACCAGGGTAGCTCTCATGCGCTTTGCCGCGGTTTCTGCCCGATATTACCTGATGATGGCCTGGGGCAACTGCCTGCAAGTGTGGTGATGATACACGTCGTCAGGTAGAGTGCGTAGCTACAGCAACGCGCGATCTATGCAGGGGCTGGAAGGCATCCTGGATGAGAGCGAAGATGAAGAAGAGGATGACAACATTAATGAGGCTCGGTCCTGTGGGGCTTCCTCCTTTGCTCGTTTCGCTGCTCGGCTTCAGCTCGGAGGCCGTCATGGGCATCGTGGGTGCCAAAAAGACAGGAAACAGAATAAAGCGGCTCAAAAGAGCAAAGAAAGCATCCTGGATGCAACGGTTCATGTACAATCTTACATGATGACAAGGAAAAAGCAGCAATCCCTAGACAAGATCAGTTCCATGTTAGGCAAACTTGGCATAACCTTGTGCATGTCTGCCATTTGGAATTGCTTAGGCTGCGAAAAAGGCGGCCGGGGCCTTATATCTGCATCCTGCTCTTGAGGATGGCATCCATGCCTCACTGCCTAGTCTTAGGGAGTTATGTTAGGGTTATATAGGGACTGCTTAAAATTAGTGATGATAGAAAAGAACATGGAAACTTTAGGGATTATAGGGGTTATATAGGGATTACAGGGCTTAATCATCCTATAATGGAGAATCAAATGGGAAAGAACATGAAACATGAAATGGAAACTGGGACTATTTTGGGTTGTATCGGGGGAAAACTGGGCTTATATGGGGATAATGGAGAATAACATGGAAACTACTATTTAGTCTTTAGGTTTAGGGCTTGACTCATCCAGCATTGTGCGTGTGAGAAGGCAAGAAGGAACGGCAAGAAGGACAGCTCGGTGGTCAGCTTTGTGGCCATTGCTGGGAACTTACGGAGGTGCATATGAGCCATAATCTAAACTCCTGCAAGGGTTATTAGGGGACTACTGTAAGGGCTATTAGGGGGATACTAGGAGTTTAGACAATGGTGCATATCTTCACCTGCGGATCGAAGTGACACTGAGTGGAGAGGCTTCTTCCAGTGGGTGTGTCTGCATGGGTGCTCCAAGACCTTCTTAGGATTTGCTCAATGATCCGCAGACGCTTGCTGAAAAGCTCCTACAGCGGTTGAGCAAGGTGGGAGAGATGCTAGCGCGATTTTGAAAGAGCAAGTACTGTTGTATCATTGCAGTGGCACCTCCACGTCGTGTAGAAGTAGGTGCATTCCAGGCTGGCAGTACGGGTTCAAAAATCTGAAAGGGGACTTGCAGGTTCAGACGACTAAATGACATCACTGCGGTCGCTCAGCATTTGCATAGTTATTTGCCAGGGCGGCGAGCCCTTCCTCTTCCGCCTGCTAATGCTTCACCTCGTTGCCAGGCACACAGAGCAGACGGCAGGAATAGTAGTCTGAGTACGTAAGCAGCAGCAGAGTAGCCGCACGAACAACAACATTGACATCAGTGGTGTTGTGGTGGCGGTTGTGGCTGAGAGTGCGGCGGCGTAGCAGAGGCTGCGGAAGTGACTTCTCTTGCCAACTTGGACGGGGAGCTGCCACGGTGGCCAGCAGCACAACACAGCACCTCCCACTGCCAGCAAACGGAATGCAACATTCCCTGCAGGTGTTGTTGCCAGAACAGCCTTTGTCTCTGCTGCCAGCCGTGCTCACCCCTGAGTCCTCCAATCAAATCTGGAGCATTGATCGCTTTACTTGAATCACACTTTGCTCATTTGCTCGGTGATCCTGCGAGCGCAAAGTCTGGTAGCCATGCTTTGGTAGCCGAACCTCCGACACAAGCCAAACCAACAAAATGACAACAGATGTTAAATGGTTGAATCAAGTGCCATGCCAGGTTGATTGGACGGCACCAGCTGCAGGTCTTGAACCTTTATCCGCTCTTCGGCTGCAGATCCAGGGCTAAGAACGCTACATCATGCATCATCGGCCAGTGTCTCGCCTAATCTCTATTGGGAAAGATTGGCTGCGGGGAGAGTTGAGCATTATCATACCTAATGCAGATCCCACTTCTTCTCTTCGAATCTGGTCTGCCACGAAGCTTGTGAAGGTTCTTGCAAAAGTACCTGGTCCATCTCTCAGCCTTGCTCCATTTGCACTGGCAATCACAGCGGACCTGATTTGGCGGAAGGTCCCCACCCAGAAGGAGGTCACCAAAGTGATGGCTGCGCTGGTAGAGGCGGCGATTAGCTGGCTGCGGTATCCCAAAGTGATCCCTGTTTGGATGATGAGCGCTGTAGACTGTATTCTGGCAGCAGGGGCAGCCTGAAGCAGAAGTCATAAGAGTGGATATGTTGGGTCCTGTCCCCTGGATGGAAGAGGCATCGCATCCGGCAGTGCCGCCTGCCAGCCCGGCTGATTGCTACCAGTACTGGTATACCCCTCTGGCTTTGGTGCGCGATGGCACTTTTGCTTGCCCACCAGGATGATGTTCGACCCGTGATCTTGCACGTAGCCGCTTGCCAGCATCTAGACTGCTAGGAGCCTCCACGGGTGCTTTGTTCATACGCTTCCTGAATCACGAGGTCCGCTACTTCGTGACAGAGGCCAACTCTCCTGAGGTGATTGAAATTGGTGACGCGCCTATTCCAGTCAGACTTCGAAAGTCGGAGATGATTTGAAGAGCTTCATTTAGCCTGCATCCCTCCGCTACGGCTCTCGCAACCAATCTTTGCTCTTAGACCAGGCTGTTGATTGCGATTCAGTGTGTTAGCTAAGTTTGGCTTGATGGCCCAAGCGCGACTCTTTGCTCGGGTGGCATGCAATGCTCGGGTTTGTCGCAGCCCAGGCTTGAACACCATTCGAGAGGTCTGTGCCAGGCATGTGCTTGCAATTCACATGCTGCGGTCAGCTGCTTGCCTCACCAGCCTTGTTTGTCCTAACTATGCTTGCATGCTGTGATGATGGGAGGCTCACATGGAGCTTCAAGATTCTGTTTTTAGTTGCTGGTTACAATGTGGCAGAGCAGTTGCCTTGTGCAGGTCCATCAACATACTTACAGAAGAAGAGCAGAAGCCCCAGCATGGATTGGAATTCGGCCGTATCGCCTGGTGTGGTACTCCTCCCAATACAGTTCGCGTAGCATTTTCTTAAAGACAGTCCCTGAGCCGGAGCCGTCTGCTCTTGAAGGCTGACAGATCTGTGCAGCTTCAGAAAGCACAAGAACAAAGGCCAGCCGTTGATTCTTAAGGACTATTATTAGTAATCATTATGATTACTGTTCACTGTTACTGTACGTAATTATTATGAAGTATGCCACCTGGGGAACAGGCCATTAAGTCTTATCCGATTAATCTCACGCAGCTCCGTGAGGCGTTTCGATGGCAGCGCATGGCCCAGCATTTTGCTGTTTTAGTGATGCGTGCTCGACAGGGTGAAGAGGCACAAGCTGTAGTATGAGGGGGTTTGTCAGTAGCTGGTCCCGGTCACCCTATCGCCTATGTTGCTTGTATGAGTGCATTTCTTGTAGTCACCCTGACTGCCTGTCAGCTCATCCAAGTGATCTTGTAGGTGAAAGGTCTCATCAATACCTACCGGGAGCCTTGACCTCAGCATGGGGGACTGAACAACCTGCGGGCGTCGAATGCGTCGCGAAGTCTTGTGTGGCATCTTGAGTGAGGACATGGCGCACTGAGCCACTAAGCATGTCATGTCAAGTCTTTCTGATTCCAATGTCTCAGTAATCATGCGTAGACCGCAGGCTGCACCCTCAGCTTCTACACCGATCGCTGCGTGGCCGAGAAGCTACCATGGCGGTCAGCATGGGCCTCGTGGAGGTATGGTGGGATGGAAGGGATCCATGCCATATCCAGCAGTTGCAAGGAGAGCGATCGAACCCTGCGCATCTGTTTCCCACCCGCAGAGCCAGCTGAGGTAGAGGGGAGGTCCAGACTCCACAGTTTGGCGAGCTCCAGGCAAGTGACTGTTCGCAGTGTTATTCCTGGTAACAAGTCGGCCTCTGAGGCATCTGAGAAGATTGAAGGCCTCGAACTCCTTGCGTCCAAAAAACACAAGGCATCGTTAGCGAGAGGGGATGACATGTCAGTCATTTCTCCATTGTTTGGTGTGAGCTAGCATCGACTCTCGCATGGAACATGGTGACGCCAGCTTGTGGAATTATGATGCACCTGGAAGGTGGAAGATGGGACCGCCAAAGATGCGTCAGGTCCTTGGATCCAAGGCCATGCCAAACGAGCTGTCGACCTGACCGTCAACTTTTTTAACTGTCGTCTATCAGCATGCGCGAAAACTGTTGTTTGAGAAGTTCAGCAATCAGGAAAGACCTCATGGCCGAGAAGGTGGGCCATGAGATTGGTATGCTGGCAAGTCTTCATAGGTGTCGCAGATTTGCTTAAGCAAAACAGTCCCTCCAGCCATGGACATCCCCAGCCGCTATAGAGCCGTGGAAGGTGTTGAGCCCTGATGATTTCAAGCAGCTCCGAAAACTGCGGCTGCAGAAATCCATCGAGTGCGCCTGCATTGAGTATGACGTTCAGGGATGTGCTGATCCTTAGGAACCTTCTTATCTGGAGATGGGATGCTGTGTCCTAGGTCTTCTGAGATGGCAGGGCCTCTTGCTGTCTGCGTGGTTTGCTGACCAGGCTCCAGATGGGCCGGAAAAGACCAGCGGAGGAGACGCTTAAAGAGATGGGCCATCCTGCTTTTTGATAGCTCGCAATAGGCACAGGTACACTCATACATTTATTGGTGGCATTGAAGAGGAGGAAGAGATGAGGAGTGAAACCCTGCTGCACCAGGAGATGAGCTCTTCCTCAAACTCAGGTAGCAAGAGCCTTGGACGCTCCAGACTGTGGCTTTGCATGGTTTTGATTCTTGAAGTCCAAGAGAAGCTGCAGCATTTTGCTGAGCCGAGTTTTACAACAGGTGACTCCGATGCCGATGAGGAGGAGGACGAGCGCGGCCTCACAGGCAGGCTCCTCTAAGACTGCGTGAGTGGCTTCAGGCCAGAAGGTAGTCTTCCGATGAGGCTTGGGTTTCTTCTTCCTGCGGTTTGTAAGATGTTAAGACGCCGGGAAGGCACAGCTTCAATCAACAGTGGCGGCACATGCAACAGGACGCCTACCTGACCAAGTCTCCGCAGACATGCTCGCCGCTGCACCCAAGAGGGCGTTGGCATCTCGGAACCTTGCTGCTGAGTGTTGCTGAGAATGCGGGGACAACTGAAGTGTCATGCTGTTGCGAACGCTCCAAGCCCGATCAATGTGATAGCCGGTTTGGCACAGCAGGGTAGTGACCATGTTCAACAGGGCCAGCGAGAGTAGCACCGCCATCGGCAAGTCGCACCAGGCGAACCAAAGCAGAGCGCCTTGCCAGAGTTCACCTCTCAGTACTCCTTGCCTCACACCAGAAGCATGTGCCCTACGGATTCGGTGCAGGGTGGAAGCTTCTTCGCACATGACAGTCCATTTTGCATTTCCAGCCTCATGTTGAGGTGTGGGTTGGTGGTGTTGTCAATTTGTCTGACCAGGCATTAGCTGTAAGGTGATGGCGCAGAGATAGAATTAGCAATCTCTTTTTTGGATCCAGGTACATCAATAAGGTGTCTGCTCCGGGCTCAAGCGTACCTTCATTTTAAACATCGGCGCAACACACGAGCCTCATGATACTCTTCAGGGGTGTAGCCATCCTCGAAGAGAGACCTACTCAAACAGACTTGCAAACGTTGTGAAATACAGCTCACACTGATGAAACGCATAACAACTCAACAAATCAACGTGCAACATTGCCTGAAATGTGGCTTGCGAAGATGACCTCAGCCCAGCAGCTAACACCAAATCAGCAAAATCCGCCGCGAGTCGCGGATGGCTTGCAGATCGGCTTTGATCCTGCTTGCCCTAATTGTGCCTTGCATGCAGCTACTATTGGGCCACTACCATTGCCTTGGCCAGCAAGGGTTTGCGTGCAGGAGTGTTGTGGACGCATAATCCATCGTTGCAATGCGTCATGCCACGGGTGTGTCAATCTCTTGCAGAGTTGCAGACATCACGATTGACTGCCACGCCTTTTCCAAAGGACATTCCTGTCAGCCTGGCCCAAGTGTCTCGGCGAGGTTCTCGTTGCTTGCGTGAGAGGGCGGTAGAGAAAATCAATGCAGGGGAAGGAACATCAGAGAAAGCGTCATACGATGTCATAATGGACATGCTGCTGCAAGTGGAAAAGTCTTCGACTGGCACGGAAGGACAGATCCATTTGGAGCAGACTGAAGTTGGAATCTGCTGCTGCTGTTGCTGTTGCTGTTGCTGTTGCTGTTGCTGTTGCTGTTGCTGTTGCTGTTGCTGTTGCGCTGCTTGACCAGTACTGATACTAAGTTTGTTGTTGCTTGTTGTTCCTGATTTTCCATCTCAGGCGAGCTCGAACAGGGCACCCCAAGTTTCCCAGTTTTCGCAAACAGGCACCACGCCATACTGGCACAGCACGACCAACAATAGCCCTTATGCAAAGGAGTTGAGCTTGAGCTTCACGTTTCATTGGCTTTAAATTTCCAAGGTGGTGTTTAGGCCTTCTGCTGCTGAATGTGGGCTTTGACACAGATGCCGCAAGACAGTGTTTCAGTGTGCAGGCAATGCAAGGCAGACATAAGCTAAGGCACCCTTCATTTGCAACGATGGTTGTGTGATACCTGCAACATTTCAGAACGATGACCGCTGCGACTGCATAACGTGCGAGGATGAAATCTCCTGGGACTGCATGATCTGTGACTGTCCTACTGCATGCGGTCGATATTCAGACTGTCTTCCGAGCTACAGTCCGGGTTATGGCGGTCCGTCAGGTGGTGGCAGCCACATTACTGAGTGCAACGATGGCTTTGCCCTTCAGAGCTATCAGGTGAACAATGGTGATTGCGACTGCGCAAGCTGTGAAGATGAGGAACGCTGGACGTGTGAGACTTGCTACGGTGGATGCCCAGCCAGCAGCGGTACAGATCCCAAGTATTGCCAATGGTTTCAAGGAAGCTTAGCCGCAGCAGGGGATCAATCAATTCGCAGTATTGTATGGCTGAACTTGATGCAGTAGCAAGTATTCTCGGACCCTGAGCACGTAAGCATCAAAAGTCGTCTCGTCTTTTTCTTGCAGCGGCATTAGCGGTGATTTTTTGAATCCCTCTCAGGCGACACTTTCACGTGTCGCAATGGCTGCGGCATTGATGGCACGAAGATGAACAACGATTTCTGCGACTGCGGTGAATGTGAAGATGAGGGTAATTGGTCGTGTGATACTTGTGGCGGCTGCCCCACATCACTCTGTGAGGCTGGCATTCTCTGCCCCGTCACCTGGCAAGGTTGTATGATTGTTAGCGCAGAACAACTACTTAAGTGACTGTGCTTCTTCCGCCTCCGCCTCTTTTGCAATCCTGTTGACAGAACAAACAACATTTGAAAGAAGCACGCTGCCAAGCACTTCCTGGAGACTCCGGGAATCTGGGTACCTTTATCGCTTGTCGTGCTTGGGTGATGACTGATTAACTACGTGTTCTCAACACTTTGGAGCTACCTTTGTCGAAGCAGGGACCTTTCGTGAACAGTCAAAGATGCCATACCAGCATTTCGCAACTTGATCTGCCACAACGCGCAATCAGGGCTTGATCGCTCTTGTTCAGAAATTTGTCTTCCTGACTTAGCATGTCATGCTGTAGTACAGTAATTAAGTCAGAAGCAAAAACCAAGTCAGTGAAGCAAACCTTTTTGACTTCAATTGGCCTTTTGTGAACTTCACCTTTCTTTGTGCGCTCTTCTTGTGCTGTGTGTTCTTCTAGTTATCTGGTCACTTTGCTGTGCAGCGGTTGCTGCTGGCAAATGTGGAAGCTGCTGTCGCCGTTGATGTCGATATTGCCGTAGCTGTGCTTGTCATTTTCCCTTCTGCGGTTGCAGCGGCGATCTCTGCTACGGTGTTCGTGGCTGACAGCAAAGGTCCAGTTCAAATGCGACGATGGATGCCTGATCCCTAATTCGACGCGGAATGACAACAGGTGTGACTGCAGCGGATGCGAAGATGAAACTCGCTGGAGTTGCGCAGACTGCGACTGCCCGTTGACCAGCGAGTGTGGGACTGGCTTAGGATGCGGAGCATTGTCCGGGCAAGGCTTCTTCGCTTGTAAGCGATGCTCGATTCCTATGGATCAGAGAAATGACAATCACTGCGACTGTGAGGAATGCGCGGCTTCGCTTCTTTAAGACCTCAATGCTTTCTGTTTTTGGGCTTCCTGCTCAGTTCTATCTTACTCTTTCTGGTGCCAGCATCTGGAGACTCCAATATCTTTGATTCATGAAAGACCGAAGATTGCAATATTCCCGAGACATCTAGCTCACGAGGAAGACGAGGAAGCCTGGACCTGCGACACCTGTGGTGGCTGTCCCGCACAATGTGGCAGTGCAAGCCCCGTTCTGTGCGTGCCGCGGTGGTGAATACATGTTAATATGTTTCTACACTGCAGTTCCTCCATTGTTACATGCAAGGAAGCTTACAAAGTGCTGTGTGGAACCCAGGGAGCACGAGGGCCATCAGGGAGCTTCTTGACCCCTTCATATTAGGCCTCATTTAACAGCACCCTCAAGTCTTCCTCTTTGTGATTGGCTTCCGTTATAAGCAGGGCTAGTCTAGTCTAGTACGTACGTTCAGGATGTTCTTGGGCCAAACGAAGTGCCGGTGTTGTGCTCTGTCTGCCTACCTAATCTCCGAAATCAAATTTTGCCGATGACTTTTCATCTTCAGTACACCAAGGTCTGATGCAACATACAAGTAGCACAGAGACCTTACAACTGCTCAAAGGCATGGGTGGGTGCTATATCTTTAGCTCGCGCTGCAGCATGCTCGTTCGAAAGCAACTCTCTAGCCCGACCCTTGCCTCCCATAAACGAAGATCAAACAAGCACCCTGACAGCATGAAACAACTAAACACACATGCTACAGGGAATGGTCCAGTGGGTGCATAGTGCATGGCTCACACATGATCGAGAGCTGTGGTTTTGTTGAAGCGCAATTCATCACTGAGACTACGACTTCCACTGTCACCACCACAAATACCAACACTGGTGTGCCTCGGAAGCAACAGTGTCGAATGCCTTTGCATCATAGAAAACTCTTGTCTTGTGTTTTCAGTGATGGATGGTACTGTAACGGAAGCAGAGACTAGATGGCCAGGCTAGCCATCAGCCTCAAGGTCTGCGGTTTAGTCACTGAAGCACTCGGTTCTGCAACAGCCTGACAGTAAAGTGCGAGGGAGAGCCCCTTTGCTTGCAGCACAGCTGTCTGCTAAGACTACGACTGCCACTGTCACTGTCACATCTGACGAGCCTCGGCTGCAGCAGTGTTTAACAAGTTGGATCATTCGGACAGCATCTCTGCTTGTGATAATGCATGGCGCAAGAAGAGCGCAAGGCTTGACGGCATGGCAGGTTTCAAGCTGTTGAGAACATGGCTGTCAATCGGGTGTTAAAAGCAGTTGGATATGCAGCCGGGTCGACAGCAAAGATGGGCATCAGCAAAGCAAGACGGACAGAAAATTTCCATCACAACTTACCACCAAGACGACGACTGCCACAGTCACCGCCACTCAAACCGACACGGAAGCGCCTTGGATGCAATATTGCTGAGCACGTTTGTGTCGGCAAGCCTTTGCTGTCGTTGCTTTGAAAGATGGTATGAGAGCCCTGATGAGCTTGAAGGCCACGTCAAGATTGCAGGGTTTTCGAGAGTTTTGACGTTCAGCCAAACCCAGCAGTAGATAGCTGGGTGGCTGGAGGATGCTGCAGGTGTGTGCATTGGGGGAGCGTCTTTTCTATTTGCTCACATGCCAGACAATAAACGAACATGAAGAGCTTCTGGGTTGTTACCGCAGCCATGTGCTAAGGTGCCAACCGCAACTACGACCCTTTCCACTGTCACCACCGTCACCACTACCAGAACCTCTACCAAGGTGCCGGCAATTGAATCTGGAAGGGTTCGTTGCGCGATGTTGCACGTCTTTGCTGAAAAGCATGTTGAGTTTGAAGTCTAGACATTCTGGGCTGTAGTGGGCGCGTACCTGCTTCAGACTGGCATCTCATTGTCCCAGAATGAAGGAAGTTAGAACCAAAGGACATGGGGATCGAGTGTCTGGTTTTGGGCGTGCAGCCGCTGGCGACCTGACAACAAGGCTCTGTCGATAGCTTTGTTGTTTGCTATGCAGCCATTCGCTAAGGTGACGACTGCAACCTCGACACGTACAGTTGCACCGACCACTGCAACAGTCACTTCCACAGTCACTGACGTGCCTTTGACTAAAAAGTACTGAACATACTCATCCATGCCATCATGCACGTGCTTGTTAGCGTCTAC